TATTAGCAACATAAAAGAAACCTTATATGAGTCCAAATATCTTTTCTTAAAATGATAGCTTTTCAAATTTTCACTTGATTGTTGAAGAAAAAAGCCCATCTTTTCCAAAGACAAAGCTATAAATGACAGAAATGTCCATTCATATAAGCCATTTCCCCTTGTACACCATTTAGCAGAATTTACTTGAAAGTCAATCATCTTTCCCTCCTAAATCTCAGTCAAAGTAAGATTTGGGACAACTTAATTATGATTCCAAGACTATATCTCTCTACCATCTGACTCAGCCATCACTTGGTTTTTGGTAGAACCAGAAGGTAAATCTGACGCAAACTTAATTTTACATGCACCTGCCAGAAGGTGGGTTGACTGTTACAGCACCTAATGGCAGGTAGCTGAAAGGAATTGGCAATTTCTTCAGTTCTGCCTACTCATAAACTCTAGAGATAGCAGGAATATAGTGAGTAAAATCAGATTTATGCTAAAAAAATTCCTGCATTTGTAACACAACTGCAAAGAGTCCCTTAATTCCCCAAGAATAAAATATTAAAAAGTAGAATTAGTTTGCATTTATATATTTATGTATTATGGAAATACTGTAATGCAAATAAAACAGTTACTGTAATTACATCTGATAATGAAATTATGTTTAGTACTTGTTAGTCTCATGGCCTAGCAGAAACTAGGCTTTCAATAAGCACAAAATAATACACACTGACCACTAATGAACAATACAAATAAATACCAATGAATTCAAAATAGTTTGTTTTATTCCTTAAAGAGGCACAAGTGTCTGAGATTTCTTTCTATGTAAATGCCTGAAAATAAAAGAATACCACCTTACAGTGATTTATATAGCTAAGTATTCATAAAATGAAATTTTGTGATTCAAAATAAGAATTACATTAACATGACACAAATACTTTTGGCAAAGTGATTTATAAAACTTGGGGAAAATGTCATACCTTACATTCCCATATGCAGTGCTTATCTATTTACGTCTAAAGTAAGATGATTCTGAGATATATTCTTGAAATACATTTTTGTTTCTTGTGAGAGCACTCAGAGAATACTATAAGCTTTAAAAAGATACAGTTTTCAAAAAATGGTTAACATTGGCTTTCCATCATGTTTTATCTTATTCAGATTACACCAGCCGAGTACAACCATTCTCTTTACAACTACAAAAAGTATCTAGTAATTATCAGTTGAGCTAGAACAGATTACTTACAGGAGACAAACCTATTTAAGAAAAACACAAACACTAAAGAGCCTTAGGAATGAACAGTGATACACACATGTGTTCAACAAATTACTGGTTACCTACTACATGTAAAGCACCATACTAGGTGCAGTAGGAGAAACAAGAAGTAAAACATTCCATCACTATTTACATATGCTCAAATATCAAACTAGTAATCTGAACAATAAGATCTGAGGAGAAATCACATCCAGCTCTTCTGAAGGCACTTGATGCCCACGTACTTAGCGTAGTTTTTACTACAGCAACTCACTCAGATTCTTAAAATTACCATAATTTCAAAAAAAGGTAGCATTGGGGCAGCATCTCACTATTCAGCCCCTTCAGCTGGAGAAGGGGGAGAAGGAATAACTGGGTAGGAAATTAGAATGACCACTAAGCTCACTTCCTTAGGTCTACAGTTCTTCCTTGCTTTAAGAACATACAAAATCTGAAATACAGTCAATGTGTGAAAACTGAAACTCATAAAGCACTGAACTGTTGTCTAAGGCAATGGTTTTCAAACACTGATGAACATCTAAATACATCTAGTAACATCCAAATGACTGGCCAACTTGATAATCACATAGATGCCTACCTACTATTTCAGACCTTTGGAATCAGAATCTATAAAGTGCAGTCAGGGCATTTGTATTTTGATCAGCTTCCCAGGTGTTCTGATGCACAGTGTGAGAATTAAATGTTATGTGATTAAGTACACAATCTTCAGTGGCAAGGAAACCTGATTTCAAATGCCTGTTCTAATACGTACTAGCACTGGGACCACCAACTATCTCCCTAACACTATTTCTAATCCATAAGAAGGGGGGACATGCCACCCAAATATATCAAGTGGCTGTTGGATTAAGGATGATGACACATAAAATGCTTAATATAATTTCTAGGACATTTAGTAAGCACTGAACGAATTCCTTTAACAAACATTTATTTAGCACTTACACAGTATCACATGAGAAACATCTCATTAATTTATTAAGTATTAATAAATATGGCAAGTCTGCAATGGTGTCATGTGAACATAACTATATGAATCTCTCCTAACCAGGAAAGTCTTCCCTGAACTGAACAGGCAGTAGTAACTGGATGAAAAGGAAAAGAAGTGCATTTCCAAGCAGAGGAAGTATCATAACCAAAAGCCACGTACTTGAAGCAGAACAGAAAGAACAGAGTAATTAGGGGAGAAAGGAATGCCAGCACACACTGTGGAGATGAGGTTGGAAAGGTAACCAGGGACCCAAACAGGTTAAGGATGTTAGTTTCTCTTAAAAACAATGAAAGTCACTGAAGGGCTTTACACATGAAGACAATGTGATTAGCTCTGCATTTCTGAAAAAGTCACTCAAACTGGTGTGGAAAACTACAGATCCAGCCACAGTAAATGCAAATAAGCCATAATTAGGAAGCTGGTTATACTTCAGATGAGAGAAGATGATGGTTGGAACTAGAGTACTAGTGGTGAAAAGGAAGAGTGGACATTTTCAAGAGGCAAATTAATAGACTTCAAGAAAGATGAATATGAGTCATGCAAGACAGGAAGATGTCACACTTCTACTCCTATACAAAGGGATGATGAAGCTAGTCACTTGAATTAAGCACAGTGAAAGGACCTGGGGGGGGATAAATAATGAATTTCAAAGGACCTGGGGGGGGATAAATAATGAATTTCAAAGAGTAGGTATTGTTCAGAGGTATTCTATTGTATAGAAGTACAATGTGTCTGTTTTTATTGAGTGTTTATGGATCTCAGAGACAAAAGAATAGGTAGGTTTTGGCATGTGTGTAAAAAGGATCTGAACAGAATGAAGGTCCTTACCTTTTACCTTCCACTAGGTTCCTTCCCTTTACAAAATCCTCCAAGTGTCTTTTATGACTAATACTGTCTCAAGAATTCTACTTATATACTCAGCTGATAAACCATTTTTAAGCTTTAACATTAATATTTATATTAAAGAATAAGACAGGAAGCCAAACAAAAAAAGCCCGCAAAGTCTAGAAGGAAGCTTCAAGTACCTGACTTTCAAGCCATTACCAGAAAATGATCGGGTTTTAAAGTGACAGACAGGTTTGGAGCATTCTCGTTAAACTATGTTAAATTTCCAGAATGGATAAAACTTATTATTCACAGAATCCAAAAAAAAAAAAAAAAAAAAAAAGTCATCATACAAATAATCCCTGAATTTGATCTACAAAAAACTAGTTTGCACTTACAATTTTAAGTCACTACTGACATGGCACTTTTAAGTCACTCGAGTCCAGTCTCATTGAAGACTGTTATAGGGGTTGACCTGACAGTATTGGTCTCCTTAATCAGTGATCAGAGGTACGTATTTAGTCGGATCCCAAGAAGTTTCGCAAGCTTTATCGCTCTAAACCTTCCTCCACCCTCTCTCTCCCGCTTAGAAAAACAAGAGTGCAGGAGCCACCGAGGGAGGTGTTAGTCTTCACAAAACACCTGCCCCACCCACCTCACACACAATAACCTTCCGTTCCAGAACTACAGCTGCTGTCTGAAAAGGACGCCTGGCGGTAGAGCGCTGTTGGGTAACCCAGGTAATCAGGTGCAGACCTCAGAACTGACGAGCTGTCTCACCCAGTCGCGGAGTAGTGTCCAATTTCCCAAAAGGGAACCGAGATCTCCACCGCGGAAACCCGAGCTCCAGGGCCTGAGAGAAGGGCTCTCCCTCCCGCAGATGACTCCGGCCCTGGTCTCCCGTCGCCTCAAGGCCTCTTTGGGGGACTCGGGCCTCGCGGATCTGCTCCCCGGAGCTCGCCGCTCCCCCAGCCCGGCTTCGCGCGGGCGCCCACCGTCCCGGCCCGCAGCCGGCAGGCCCGTCACCAGGCAACAGTCACCAGCTCTGAGGGCCTTGGGAAGGCCTACCTCGGGTGCGGGTCCTTCCCCATTCCCTCCTCGCTAGCCTTAAGAGCCCAGGAGGGAGTGTAGCAGGTGAAGGAGATCGCCCGGTGCCCGTGGGCGGTCACTCACCTCTTCCCCTCTTTCCCGGGAGGGGCGGTGCTGGGGCTTGTTTCCCCCGCCCCCCCCGCAAACGCTTCCTAGCTGCACCTGCTCAGCCTCAGAGCCTGGCCGCTGCCGCCGGCTTACTCCATAGCCTCCTGCATCCGAGCGGCCTCAAAGGCAGGAGGCGGAGGAGGGAAGGGAAAGGGGAGGGGAGGGACTGGGGAAGAAGAGTACGGGAGGGGGGAAAAGACCTAAAGACCGGCCGGCCTGGGCATGACGTCGCTTCCGGCAGGTTCGGAAGGGGCGGGCCTACGCGCCTTGGGCCCCGCCCCAACCTGGTGCTCGGGGGCGGGGTTACGAGTCAGGGGAGGGGCCGGAGCGCGAGTTGGTGGCGGTTTTTTCGACCCCGCGGTTCGGTAACCTTGGCAGCCAGAGCCGGCTTCCCGGGCCCGACCGAGCTGGCAGAGTTTTGTGAGCCCTAACAGTGCCTTCTGCCGGAAAAAGAGGACAGAGAGCCCTATAGATCCTAACCAAATGTGTCCTGAAGGGAAGGGCAGCCCTCGGAAGCGGGTGGTTTGGGCTTGGCCCTTTCCCAGCCTACCTGCCCTCCTTGTCCTGGGTGAAGAATCCTACTCCGCTTTTTCCCGAGCTACTCTCTCTGGGCTGTTCAGGAAGGCAGTGCTTCACAAACATTAATATGCACACGAATCATCTGAGGATTTTGTTAAAATGCACTTTGGATTCAGGAATAGGGTCTGATACTCTGCCTTTCTAATAAGTGCCCAGATGATGCCAATGCTGCTGGTCGGCAGGCTACGCTTAGAACAACAAAGCGTTAAAGGACGAGGTGGCAAGCATGAGAATCATATCCTTAACCCAGCCTACTTGTTCAATGAAGGTTAGAGACACAGATGGTCATACCCTTGTCTGCACCGATCACAGACTCAGCCTTTTCCACCCCACTCCATCCTACCCTCTTACCCACTCGCCCATCACTCCCTCGCCTCCTCCTCTAATTCCTCCCTTTTCACTCCTCACCCTCTACCCCTTACTCCTGTCTCCGCACGATTCACAGGGTCTTCGGCTAATATTTCAAGGATAAACAGATGGACAGTTTCTGTTACGAAAGACATTTGAAGGTGATGGGGCTTTTATTTCTGTCATTTTGTCGTAACATCAGAACATTATGTAAAATTGGGCATCCCCTTTCCAGTCAAAGGAGGAGAGAGCTTAAATTCTTGGATTCTAATAACAAAAGACCTAGAAACAACAGTCTAGATGTTTCAACTGATTCCCTTATTCTTAAAATTGTTTAATTAAAAATCCACTGGGGTAGAGAAGAATGAGGAGTGGCTGCTAATGTATGGGTTTCTTTTTGAAATGATGAAATTATCTGAAATTAAATAATAGTGATGGTTGCACAACTTTGTGAGTGTACTAAAAAAAACTATTGAATTCTACATTATAAAAGGGTGAATTCCGGGGTGCCTGGTTGTTAGAACAGGTGACTCCTGATCATGGGGTCATGAATTCACATGCCCCACCTTGGGCATAGAGCCTACTAAAAAAATAAAAATAATTTAAAAATAGGGACCCCTGAGTAGCTCAGTTGGTTAAGCGGCTGCCTTCGGCTCAGGTGATGATCCCAGGGTCCTGGGATCCAGTCTCACCTTGGGCTCCCTGCTCATTGGGAAGCCTGCTTCTCCCCCTCCCCATTGCTCATGCTCTTTCTCACACTCCCTCTCTCTCTCTCTCTCAAATAAATAAAAAAAATCTTTAAAAAAATAACTTAAAAATAAATTTAAAAAATAAAGGTGAATTTGTGGTATGTGAATTATATATATATCAATGAAAAAATTTTACTGTCTCCAATTAATTGAAAAAAATGTATATATGTATATTAAAAAGTTCACAAATATATATAATAAAAAGTGAACACAAAGGTTAATTGTTTGAAAGTTAGCCTTCTAGACCTTTCTTTTTATTTACATATATTTGTGTATAATTCAGGAATTCATTTTTATATAACTAAGATGATAGTATATACATTTTCTACTTGCTCTTCAGTTTTGTTTTGTTTTTCCTACTTAATGAAATCCTTCCATGCTATAAATCTCATTCTTCCAAATTGGCTGTTTAATATTCCACAGGAAGGCTATGACATAATTTATTTAAATGTTCCCAGATGATGAATATTTTTATTGTTTTCAGGTTTTCATTATTCCTCACAAACTTTTCCTTACAGAACAACTGGCAGATAAATTGATTAGTTTTGTTCAGCTCCTTGACCTAGATCTCTTTCATAAGAGCTTGCCATTGGTCAAGAAAGGCGAAAAGAAGAAAGAAAAAGCAAAAAGCCTCATGAAGCCACAATTCTTTTTTTTTTTTTTAAAGATTTTATTTATTTATTTGAGAGAGAGAGAATGAGAGACAGAGAGCATGAGAGGGAGGAGGGTTAGAGGGAGAAGCAGACTCCCTGCCGAGCAGGGAGCCCAATGCAGGACTCGAGTCAGGGACTCCAGGATCATGGCCTGAGCCGAAGGCAGTCGCTTAAACAACTGAGCCACCCAGGCGCCCCAAAGCCATAATTCTAATAATCAAGACTCCAATGTGTGCGTGCATTCCTTTTAAATATGCCCTAAAATAATATTCTTCAAGATTAAGTGTAGCTAGTAGTTAATCATGTAACACTAAGGGTGTATAAATTCACACAATAATATATTTCATATCAGTGAAGCAAGTTCCTGGGTTTACTCTGTTTTTATTGGCAGACAAAAGGTGCAGTCTTAGTAAATAGATTATGGTTTACATAAGATGAGAGGAGAAGAAACTTAAGAGAGACACTGGCAACAGATACGCCATATAAAAGCATAAGGTTGTCAAAACTGGGAAACCTACATATTTTTGTGTGATCTAAATTTGTAAGAAACATGTTTAATTTTTTTTCTTTTCAGGTTGCTCTGGTCCTTTTCAATCAGTTATGGGGTGGTATTATTCACTCCCTTCAGACTCAAGTGGAAATAAAAAGGAGACATCATTTATGAACATACAAAGACTATTTTACTGGTTCTGTTGCTGTTGATGTAGTATTAAGTCATCTTATGCAAAATACATGCCTAAGTAGTGCGATGACACCTCTCTCAAAGGAGTTTGTCTTTGCCATGTTCTAATGAATCAAAGTATTTGAACTAGTAGGAATGAAGCTATTGAAAAATGAAAAGGAATTAGAATTTGAAGATTCAAACAGTAGTCTCTACAGTTTTCTAGACAATAAATCATCTTATATTTTTTGCAAAAGAAGAAAAGGATTCTGGGAATGGGTTAACTGATGAAATAAAAGCAAAGGAATCTTTAAGGTTAGTGTTAGCCAATATACTGTAATATATTGTGTTTAGACTCTGACAGAACAGACTTCATTGAGCTCAACTTAAATATTATGCTTTCAGTTTTATTCAGAAGCCAATAAAAGAAAAGCCATGTGAAAATTAATCCATGTCTGTGTTTGCTCTAAAACCATAATGGAAGACATTACCACATAAATTTTTTTCAGAATTTATACAAGGAAGAACTTGTATCTTCTTCGATGAATTATATGCTTTATAATTTTGAAAGTGACTTAGCCAAAGTAAAAATAGCCAAGGTTATCTGGAAACTCAACAGTAAAAATTTTCTATTACATCATAGTAATCATGTTAACTTTAGAATTAGTATATATACTTTTTTTTATTTACGATCCTAATTTGTCCTCTTCTGGTGACATTCTATTATCTAATAAATTTATTACTTGTGTTTTTTATTGTAAGCTCCCTGAAATCCTTTGTGGAAATAGGGAATGTCTAAATAAGTTTTAATAAGTTAAAATGTATATTTGAAATTTGATCCCACATATAATAGGAAAGTCCACATATTATTTCTTAACAGACCAGGAGATGAAATGATTTCAAATCCTCTAGCACAAGAGATTGGTGAGGAAAGAATAGAGGAACCTATTCATACAATGAGTGGGAATATGGCTTTACCTCCAAATATCATAGTTGATAAACCTGTTCTCTCACTTTCAAAAAAAGGTAATTTCAGTTTTCATTATTTTTTCCAGAACTTTGTAAGGAAGAACTGATTTTTTAAATTATTTTTAGAACAGTTTTAGGTTCACAAAAAAATTGAGCAGAAAGTAGAGTCCCCATGTGTCCCCTGCCCCCATAGGTATCAGCATCCTGTACCAAAGTGATATATTTGTTAAAATCTGTGAACTTACTTTGCTACATCATTATCACCCAAAGCCTATAGTTTACACTAGTGTTCACTCTTCGTGTTGTATATTATACGGGTTTTGACAAATGTATAATGACATGTACCCGCCAATAGAATCATACAGAATAGTTTCATTGCCCTAAAAATCCTCTCTGCTTCACTTATCTTTTTTTCCTTCCCCCTAACTGCTGGTAACCACTGATCTCTTTACTGTCTCCAAAAATTGACTTTTCAAATATGATAAAAGTAGTGTATTTGGTGTACTGATTCTCTACACCTCTATTAGCATTTCCTTCTACATCTACATTATATCACACAAGACAGGTGAGGCAACATAGATCCAATAACATTTGTTTTTTACAATGACCATGATCAGATTAACTGAGGTGCTATAATCCATACTACCAGAAAAAAGACATGTAGACTCATTACCAGTCCTTACTATTTATAATCCACACCATCTTCTATGACCCTTCCCAAACATCTCCCTACCCTCTACCTTTCAGGACAAACTAAGCAATCTGTTGCTCTACTTCTCTTTACTATTTACTTCATCTACTTGTGGTTTTCGCCTTATGATGCCACTAAAGGTGAAAAGAAGAGCCCCATACCCAGGGCAGTTAAGAGGGATGCATACATAATTCATTAATGGTTGCATCTTTTACTGTATTTGGTCAAACCATTACAGAAGCAAGACAAGAATGATTTACACCTTGGAGGAGCAAAAGATAACAATAATTAGGAGAAGTGTGATAAGGGAAAGACAAAGTGCCCAAAGAAAGGGCAATAAGAAGAGAAGTGGGACTAGAAGAGAACTCTGAGGAATACTAATAGACACTCAGAAGAAGAGGAGCCAAGCAAAAGTGATTCTTATCTACTACAAATAAAAAAAAAAAGAAAGTTGTCCCATCATTTACCCTTGAGGATAAAGGGTACCTCTAAAAATTCTTAACTAAAGATGGGTGTAATTTATCAGTAAATATGTTAATAAAAATAGTTTCCAGTTACTGGGCCTTTCCCTTGCTAAGCAACCTATTATGCATTTTGTATGTATTATTTATAATCTAACAATAGGTCTGTAAAGTAAGGGTTAAAATTCTCATTTTATAGTAAGGGAAACTGAGACTCAGAAGGATAAATAAATACTTAAGACACAGTAGGAAAAGAAAGCTGGCATTCTGATGTACGTTTTGAAATGTTATTATTATTGAATGTGAAACATTCAAATAGTCCTCCAGGTTTTATTAATGAAAACTAGGAGCTCCCTACCCTTCTCCTCTCACTCATTTCCCCTCCCCTCCCCGAGACAATTTACAACTTGTATCTCATATTTCTAAATAGCATGCTTATAATGCCATCTCACGATCTTTCAGTTTTAGGTACATCTATTAATTTTCTACAGAGGAGAATGGTGTTTTAGGTCTCTTCCCTCCCTAATATATATCTCCCACTTTATTTTTTTTATTTTATTTATTTTAAAGAGAGCGAGAGCTCAAGTGGTGGAAGAGGCAGATGGAAAGGGAGAGAATCTCAAGCTGACTTGGCACTGAGTGCAGAGTCCACTCAATCCCACGACCCTGAGATCACTACCCGAGCCAAAACCAAGAGTCAGACGCTCAACCGACTGAGCCACCCAGGCCCTCCCAAAATACTTTAAGTGGTACATATGCTTTTATATACTCTTTTATATGTGATATATTTAACAGAAAATGTTAGATGAAATTAGGAGGAATATGTGTAGATTTAATACTATTGCATTTAGCCAGTAATTTTAAGCATTAAGTCACAAAAGAATAAACTATTAAGATTCGTCAAAATTAAGAAGAGAGTTTTTATATTAAAACAAAGATCAGCCAAGTCTGGGAACCACTGCTTTAGTTTAGACTGATTATTTTACAGATAAGGAAACAGACTTAGAGAAATTAGATAATTTGCCAAGTTTCCACACTTAACTAATGACAACAAGATTCAGACTTAGATTTCCATATTTTTATCAGTGTTTTATCATTATTGTTGCAGCAAAGTATTGTTAACATGAAACGAGAATGAGTGAAATGTATTTGGTATGTTTGCTCTTTGTCACAACTGAATGTGTCAGCCTTCAGAATAGAAAAACAAAAATTATTTTAGTTCTTTCTAACAAAAGCATAGTTTTCAGAGGAGTTTTTAATAGGTTACTAATAAGAAATCTCTTTATCTTCAAAAGCCTTTTAAATCTAGTAGTTTGGGTTTTTTTTGTTGTTGTTGTTCTTCGTTTTTGTTTGTAAAAAGGCTTGCAAAAGAGAACTAACTTTAAAATTGACTGACTGCTCTTGTATTTAATGCAAAAAAAAAAAATTCACTTGCTTAGAAGATAAATTTTCAAACCAAAATTTTTTGGAGAAAGTGCATTCGGAAGTTTCTCCAATTTCTAACAAATCAGGCATGAATGGAGTTTTCGCTGTTGTTGTTATCCACTGAAATCTGATTTTTCTGTGATCCTCAAGCACAAAACAACCCCATCAGACATATTAACAGACATAAAATTAGGAATAAAACAATATAGACACTATCTGGCTTAATAAAATTAAATAATTAGCTGGCCAACAAGAACATTTAAGCCACTTTCTATTTGGCAAAACATGACTGGTTAGAGGTCCAGACTGGCTCAGTTGGCAGAGCATGTGACTTTTTTTTTATGTTTCAAGTTTTTATTTAAATTCTAGTTAGTTAACATATAGTATATTAGTTTCAGAGAAGAATTTAGTGTTTTAACACTTGCATATAACACCCAGTGCTCATCACAATAAGTGCCCTCCTTAATATCCATCACATATTTAGCCCATCCCCCCCACCCACCTCCCCTCCAGCAACCCTCAGTTTGTTCTCTATAGTTAAGAGTCTCTCTTACGGTTTACCTCTCTTTTTTCTCTTTCCCCCACATTCATCTGTTTTGTTTCTCAAATTACACATATGAGTGAAATCATATGGTATTTGTCTTTCTCCGACTCATTTCACTTAGCATAATACTCTCTAGCTCCACCCACACTGTTGCAAATGGCAAGATTTCATTCTTTTTTTTTTTTAAAGATTTTATTTGTTTATTTGACAGAGAGAGACACAGCCAGAGAGGGAACACAAGCAGGGGGAATGGGAGAGGGAGAAGCAGGCTTCCCGCGGAGCAGGGAGCCCGATGCGGGGCTCGATCCCAGGACCCTGGGATCATGACCTGAGCTGAAGGCAGACGCTTAATGACTGAGCCACCCAGGCGCCCCAAGATTTCATTCTTTTTGATGGCTGAGTAATATTCCATTGCATCTGTATACCACCTCTTCTTTACCCATTCATTGGTCAATAGACATTTGGGCTCTTTCCATAATTTGGCTATTGTTGATAAGAGCATGTGACTCTTAGGGTGCCTGGGTGGCTCAGTTGGTTAAGCATCTGCATTTGGCTCAGGTCATGATCCTGGGGTCTTGGGATAGAGCCCCCCTCATTGGGCACCCTGCTCAGTGGGGAGTCTGCTTCTCTCTCTCCCTCTGACCCTCCCCTCCTACTCGTGCTCTCATTCACGCTCACTCTTTCAAATAAGTAAATAAATAAATAATCTAAATAAATAAATAAATAAATAAATAAATAAAGCATGTGACTCTTGATCTCAGGGTTGTAAGTTCAAGCCCCATGTTGGGTGTAGAACTTATTTAAAAAAAAAGAAATGCTGGTTAAAGCTATGCAATTGACAACGCACCTATATAAATTTCATCCAAGAAATAGAAGTATTAGTTCCTCTATTTTTGAGAAAAGCCATTTCTTAATTTCCAAATAACTATAGAAACTACTTCACTTGAGTTGAGGACTGCCAGCAGGGGTAAAGCAGTGTGATCCCTGCAGGTTTCACTGCAAATTTGCATCTGTTTGGCATGAACAGTTAAGGTGAACCACCTTTGCTGACATTTGTTTGCTTTTTACAGTTATTTGGTTTTTTACTAATAATATCATGACTAATATTTCATGTGTTGTTTTAGAAATGTTAGGGTGCAGAATAGAACCTCTCCCTCATCTCTGTGGGGTAGGTCTCAGGAATGCCTGTATCAGCTAGAGCAACTCCACTGTTAATATGTTTTACTTGACTTCCAGAATATGTTTGGACAAAGGTTTCCTCAGTGGAAACAAAGTTTGCATCCTACTGAACACACTGTACTCCTCCTACCAAAACATTTGCACACTTAATGAAATTGCCTGTTTACTTACTTGTCTTTATTCCCACTAGAGTGTGAGGTACTTAGGGACAGTCCTTTTCTTGTTCACCATTGTATCCCCATTGAATGGCACAGGGCCTAGCTGTTGGAAGGTGTGTAAATGTTTAATGGATGAATGGTGCAAGTACAGTCTCCTCATTGAATAAATATTTTCTTTTTATATATACATTCTATACATACATACCTATATGCACATATATATGTATGTATATAGGCTATCCTAAACACTGGATAGATTGTACATTCATCAAATGCAGAGTCTATCCCCCCTTGTATCCTCCACTCAGCACAATGATCACTGAGGATGACGTGCTTCATAAAGATAACCACGGTGATGGTATGTGTTGCCACAATATCCTTCTTGAGTTTGGGGGGGGGCATGGGTAGTACAGTCGGTTAAGTGGCCAACTCTTGATTTTGGCTCAGGTCATGATCTCAGGGTCCTGGGATCTAGCCCCGTGTTGGGTTCTGTCCTCAGTGGGGAGTCAGCTTGTCCTTCTCCCTCTCCATCTGCCCCTCCCCCCAAGCCCCCCTGCTCTCTCTCTCAAATAAATAAATAAATCTTTAAAAAAATATATCCATCTTGAGTTTGATTTCTCTACACAGAACTAGCTATTCTGTTTATCATCACTGCATTGGGCTAGTATGTTCTAGACATGCACATTTCTCTGCTCTGTCTCCTTCAGATCCTTGTTTAAATATCATCTTCCCAATGATAGTTCCTGCACATCTTATTTAAAATTACAATACTATCCCATCTTGCACTGCTTCTCTTCTTTTCTGCTCAATTTCTCTCCATAGAACTTACCACTAACAAACACAGTACATATTTCACTTTTTGTTTGTTTGTTTGTTTGTTTATTGTCCCCCTCCCCGCCATAGAATATAAGCTCCATTAAGGCAAGGATTTTTACCTATTTGGGTTACCATTATATCCTTGGTACCTAGAACAGTGTCAAGCACAAAATAGGTCTCAATAAATATTTGTCGAATAAATTAATGTTCTGCCTTGATGCTCTTGCTGAATACTCTTTTTTCCAGATTTGGACTTATTTATAATATATCTACTTGTATTTCTCGGTGACTTCATAAAATTTGCCTTTGCCCATTTCATAAGTGGCTATCCTAGCCTCCTTACTTATGGTATGGCTGCTGAAGGTCCACTAGTTTTTGTGTATTTTTTTCTAACACTTGTTCAGTGCCATGCCGAAAGTTTGGTACTAACAAACGTGGACTGATTGATTAGAGGCTATTTATGATCTCAAGTTTTTACTAAAAGGCTGTTAATTTGATTTATTTTTGGTCATTAACTTGAAGGTAGCAAACTGAGATGCCTTTAGGAGCCAGACAGATCAGAGATCCAGGGAGTACTTAATTATCAAACATGTAAATATATATGTACCATTGTTTTGCTTGAAATGTATGGCCTTCTCAGGCTATTTTTCCTTTTCCCACTTAACACAGAGATATAAATATGTATAGGGAAATTGATTTTTACTATAGTAAAACCAACAGGAAAGTATCAAGAAAATGGTAACTGAGACCCTGCCACACTATTAGGGGTACAATGGAGTGGCAGGGTTTGTGGTGAACTGGAAATGACATGCCAATCCAAAAGGGGTATCCACTTACTAATTCATATCAACTCTCTGTGGTCAGGCATTTGAATTCAAGCCCAATGTTTTATGAGATCTTGTGATTTTTTTATAGGGAAGCTTGAAACTCAACATTTTACATGAAATCTGTCATTTTTATACAAGTTAATTTTATTCAAAATACTTTATAACCAAACAAACCATAGCTGTGGTCCAAATTTAATGCATAGGCTACCAGCTTGGGAGCTCTGCAAGAGATTTACTATAGCTACTACTTTTATAATTTTGTTTGATTTACAGGAAAATCAAAACATCAATTATGATCTCATGATTAGGATAATGAAAAATTTCATTAACTCTTAAAATGACCAAAAACCCAAGTTAAGATTAACCTACTACTACATTTTAATTTAAAAATAAGAAATACAGTTATCTGTGCTGCTTGAATAAAATTGTAATTAGTAATCTCATGTTCTCTCAGGTACAATAATTCATAAGCTTGACTAGCAGTTTTTTGTATTTGGAATTAACCTACTGTTGGCTTTAAAAGCTAGATCAGGGGGCGCCTGGGTGGCTCAGTTGGTTAAGCGACTGCCTTCGGCTCAGGTCATGATCTCAGGGTCCTGGGATCGAGCCCCACATCGGGCTCCCTGCTCGGCGGGAAGCCTGCTTCTCTCTCTCCCACTCCCCCTGCTTGTGTTCCCTCTCTTGCTGTCTCTATCTCTGTCAAATAAAAAATAAAAATAAAAAATAAATAAAAAATAAAAGCTATATCAGGGGCATCTGGGTGGCTCAGTCAGTTAAGCAGCCAACTCCTGATCTGAGGGTTGTGAGTTCAAGCCCCATGTTTGGCTCCATGCTGGGCATGCTGCCTACTTAAGAAAAATATAAATGAATAAATAAATAAATAAAAACTAGATCATATTATTTTATAATAAAGATAATAAAATCAATACCCCTAACAGTGTGGCATCATGACTTTGATGTCTATTTAAAGGTTAATTTTGAAAAGAAAAATTGTAATTTAGTAAGTTTAAATTATCCTAGCATTAAATTCATCCATTATATCATATTAAGGTAACTTTTATATTATTTATATAAAATTTATATTATTTATATTATTTAGATATGGAAGAATTTTATAATATTGGTTGAACTTGTGTATGTTATCAATCTGATGGTTACTTACTTTTGTTTCTAAGCTGTGGAAGATGTTTGGAAACAACAGACATTTCTATATATTTTTTGACCCATTCACCTTCCATTCTTGGAAAATATTTTGAAGCCTCCTGTTAAAACACAAAATCTTCAATTAAGTGAAGAGGAGGATCTTATTCTCTCAAACACTTGTCTAGACAAAGAGGTTATTCTAAGCTTATGTTTACCTGGTAAGTGATCATTTTTTTAAAAGATTTTATTCATTTATTTGAGAGAGAGAGCTCAAGCAGGGGGATCAGGCAGAGGGAGAAACAGGCTCTCTGCTGAGCAGGGAGCCTGGTGGGGGGATCAGTCCTAGGACCCTGGGATCATGACCTGAGCCGAAGGCAGACACTTAACCGACTGAGCCACCCAGGTGCCCCTGTAAGTGATCATTTTTATTGTTAAATAATTTATAACTAAGAAATCCTTTCACATATTTTGCCCTTCATATGTTAAGTTGTAAGAACATATCCATACATATAAGCTGACATCTCTGTTTTATAAATTAATCACTGTGAATTCTCATTTGATCTAACATAGAAAATCACTGGTTATGACCTGTGAGAAGATCATTGGAAATCAGAGTGGTTTAATTCATATGAATTCAGTAATGACTTGTCAATCATCCATTCCCTGCGCCACCCTGAGTGTTTTCCAAAGTTTCATCATTTGTTTTATGACCCTAAAATAATATAACCATCAGTTTCTATCAGTTTGTTTATCCCTGCCCTAAAAGAATCTAACATCTAGTAGGAGCGATATTCATGGAACAAAACATTACAGTCCAATAAGATAAGCCCTATCATAAAATCAGCCTCATTTGTAGAGATGCTCAGGGAACCATATAACCTGAATGAGGCTCCCTTCTCCTTCCTTCCTATCTCCAAAGTATTTGTCGCTCCTGAACAAACCAGCTTCTAGGAATTCTAAGTCTAAAACCTTGGGTACTGTTCAGGGAGACCCTGATATCTGATGCCTTCTCCCACATGGGCCAAACAAGAAAAGAACATTAGACTCCAAGGCTGAGAACCAGAAAGTTTCAGATCCTGGGAGGAGTTTGGTGATCAAGGACCTGTGGACCCACTTATAAAGTCAGCTGTGGTCCTATTTGCACATGGTTGGTTTCCCTAATTCACAATAGGCCAACAAAGACCCACACAAATGACTGAGTCTTCCCTAGCCCTTGAGACAGGGAGAGTATAGGGACACCATCAGAGAAACAGGATTTCTTTAGACACCTCCGCAGGGAAGAACAGTCAGTTGGCCTCATATCAGTTGGCACTTCCAGGCAGAAAGGGTAGGCTATCTGCAAGAGAAAGGTAATTCAACTGCCATTAATCTTTTCATCTGCAACATGAGGATCTAGAAGATAATTAGTCACACCTAAGAAAATATTTGAGGAAAGATTTCAATCCGACTGCAAAGAATAGGCAAATGGAGACAGATGGAGAAGGAAGAAAACAGCGTGGGCAATGAACTTTAATCTGTGACCTCCTACTATTTTCTCTTCTCTGTGTACCCACATGCGGTATGTGTACACACACACACACACACACAGTAATTCCAAGTTGACATGGTAAGACTATGGAAGGCTGTATAAAATACAAGTGCTAAATAAGGGACCTGGTATTAAAGGAAATTAGAATAAATACCAACCTATCTGTATAAAACCTGGGTGTTCAGATAGTGGCCCATGAGAAAAAGGAGGAATTAAAGGCATCACTGAAGAGAGGGGGGAGTGAAAGGATTCTGAATTTCTTATTTTACTCATGTGGGGAGATAAAAAAAGAGAAAACAGTATGTGGTGGAATAGAAGTGCATCTTGATTGGGGAAATATTTGGTATCTTTATTTCAAATAATAATAGAACCACATGCACCTAATTATTGGAGTGGGAAAAGCAAGGGAATCACTCATGGAATTGAACAGTGCAGATGAACTCCTCTGAACAAAATCTAAGAAAACTAGAGGGGTGCCTGAGTGGCTCAGTCGTTGGGCGTCTGCCTTCGGCTCAGGTCATGATCCCAGAGTCCTGGGATCAAGCCCCACATTGGACTCCCTGCTCAACGGGAAGCCTGCTTCTCCCTCTCCCACTCCCCCTGCTTGTGTTCCCTCTCTCACTGTCTCTCTCTCTCTCTGTCAAATAAATAAATAAAATCTTTTAAAAAAGAAAACTAGAAATAATGAAAAAGTGGCAAAAATATTTTAATTCCTTGAAAATAAAGGTACACAAAGCTGTGGTGGTATTTGGTGAAGAAAAAAAGCTATTCCCTCTAATTTACTCCTGTAATCATCCAGCAAAAATTATTAAAATTATTCTCTCAAAAGTAGTCTCTTTAGATTTGGTTAAATATAAGCTAGACTTTATATTTTATCAAACAGTTTTTAGGTAGTTAAATGGAAATGTTAACTATTGATTTGTTTTGTTTTTGTTTTTACCTCTGGAGTTGACAACTGGTTTATTAATGCAGCAATTAAATGTTTGGCTATTTCCCTGACCAGTTATAGTTACAGTTATTCAGCAGTTAGTACAAAATGGAAAAGACATTGAGTATACAGAAGAAGATACTCTTTGATGTTGTAGTAAAATACTATAATCAAGAGAGAGATTGCCTATTAACTGATGAGTATTCTGATATTCAGTTAGGAATTATTGAACTTTTAGGTAAAAGAAGATATTTAAACTTTAGTTTTTTGTATAATAAAATATTTTTTAAAGATTTTTTTTATTTATTTTAGAGATAGAGCAGGGGTGGGGAAAGGAGCAGAAGGAGAAGGACAAGCAGACTCTGAGCTGAGCGTAGAGCCCGACGTGGGGCTCAATCTCATGACCCTGAGATCATGACCTGAGCTGAAACCAAGAGTTAGACCCTTAACTGTGCCACGCAGGTGTGCCTAAAATATTTTTAAAGATACAAGTTTCATGGGGCACCCGGCTGGCTCAGTCTGTGGTGCATATGAATCTTGATCTCAGGGTCATGAGTTCAAGCCCCACATTGGGCTTACTTAAAAAAACAAACAAACAACAACAACAACAAAAACAAATAGCGGAACATTTAAGAAACTGAGTACTACATTTTAATATTTTTCTTCAGTGGTGTCCAAGTGCTTCATGAAGTCTTTTTTCACTTCACTAATGTTATCTGCCATGTAAATTACACTATCAAATGTAACTAATGTAGTATAGGACATTAGATCTAAGGTAACTATATCACAGGGGCATTGTAAGAAACATATTTTAATATAGCATAGGATTAGAGAGCTGAGGTATTTGGAAATATTAATTTCTGAAGTATTAATTTGGCGATCTTTTACCAAAATAAAAATTGAGTGACATAAATCATGTCACTTTTTTAACTATGTAGGTAGCCATGTAATTTCATGTTAAAAACAAAATACTATTTGATAATGCTGGATGTAATTATGCAGGTGTTTGGTATATAGAATTATAAAGATTTATTCATTTATTATTTGAAAGAGAGAGTGTGTGGGCACGTGTGAGAGTGCAGGGTGGGGGCTGGGGGTGCAGACAGGAAGAGGGAAAGAATCCCAAGCAGACTTCTTGCCTAGCTTGAGCCGGGCAGGGGGCTCAATCCCATGACCCATGAGATCAATGACCTGAGCCGAAACCAAAAGTCAGTCACTCAACCGACAGCCACCCAGGCACCCCTGGCCAATAGAATTATAAAAATAATTTCCTGTGTGTTTGAAATATTTCACCATAAAAACTTCTTAGTGTAAAAAAGAATCCACAAACCAAATCTAGCATCATAGTGTTATAATTGACTACCAAGTATTACAATCTCCATTTTTTTGTATCCCATGAAGCAACTTAGAACATTTGAAGTAGCATACTGTATCTAAGATTGTTACATTAGAGAAATTAGAGAATTATGAGGGCTACTTACCTTTATGCCTATTGTATCAGAACCTAATACCCTCAAGTTACAGAAACAGGTGAAAAAAATTACAATAACAGTTTTACAATTCTCTGGTCTTTTTAAAAAAATCATTCAAGTTAAGGTTAATCTTTCTGTTTACAGTATGATAACAAAACAGTGGTCCTGAAAACTCTTGTCAAAGCAGTTTTGCAAACGAGATCATTATTAGAAGTATGGGCAGAACAACTAGTCTGGTTTTTACTGAAGTATCACTCTGAGATATTCAAGGTATCTCTGGCATTTTGCCTGGGCACATTTATTACTAAGCTATTTTCGTACAGCAAAAAGGCAAATCATTTGCTTAAATAAATAATTTACTGAGTGCCTGTAATGTGCAAAGTTTGAAGGAATGCTGTTTTCCCATACCCACTAAAAAGAAGGAAACAGACTTAAAACACTATCAATATTTGCAAGCATATTCATTCATTTCTTCAACCCATTTCTGGTGCATTACTATGTGCCAGATGCTGTTATAGGTGGTTAGAATACATAAGCATACAAAACACAATGATGCAGACCCTTGAGGAGCTTATATCCAAGTGAGGGACAACAGACAATAAAAAAATACACACAATAAATCAAGTCATAGTTTATAGAAGGCAATACTTGCAACAAAAAGGGGAAAAGAGCTGGTTAAGGGGATTTAGGGTGCTAGGGTGAGGGTGAGCAGGAACTTACAGTATTAGGGTGGCCAAGATTGACCTCACTAAGAAAGTAAGAGTTGAGCAAAGACTGGAAGGGGGAGAGAGAATCAACCAAATGGCTGGGAGGGTAGGATAGTGTCCTTGGGCAGAGAGAATGGTTCTTAGTGCAGAGGACCTAGGGGTGATGCATGCCTGGGTGCTGAGGAACAGCAAGAAGCGGTGAGCAGAGGGGAGAGTAGTAGGAGATGAGGTCAGAGAGGTGGGGGCCGTTATAAGTCACTGGAGAGATGTTTCTGCTTGGAATAAAATGGGGAATCACTGGAGGGTTTGAGCAGAACAGCAGCCTGATTTGACTGACATTTATAAAAATAATCCTGTCTTTTATGTTGAGAATGTGTTGTACAGCAGCAAGGGTAGAAGTGGGAACACCTTTTCGGAGGCTGCTGTAATAATCTGGGCAAGAGATACAGTGACTTGAAGCAGAAGAGTAGCAATAGAGTTAGTAAGATAGGGTCAGATCCTTGATGTCTTTTGAAATATCTTAGAAAAAGATTGTCTTTTAGCCTCGCTCTGTATTTTAGTACCAGGCAGTGACACTTTTAGTGGTGTTATGTCTCTAAAGCCTCTACAAGAATTGTTCCTTCTTCAATTTCTTTGTTTAAACAAATTCTGTTGTCACAAGAAACACATTAGCTCAAATTTTGTAGCAGTTCTGTCAACCTTAACTGAAGCTTCTTTCCCATTATTTCAGAGAAAAAGATGGTTTTAAGTATATATAATGGAAGCTGTCCCCCATTTATGAATTTTGTTGTTTTGTTTTAAGTAAATGCTATGCCCAGTGTGGGGCTCAAACTCACAACCCTGAGATCAAAAATCGCATGCTCTGCTGACTGAGCCAGTCGGGTGCCCCACCCCATTTATGAATTTTGAATGAAATATATTCTAAAAACTCATTTTTAAGTCAGTTGTTATTCTGTACCTAGTTTTTCATCAAAATAATAACAAAGGGAGGTTAGGGCCCAGGTTACATAAATCTTTAATTCTACTGTCACTAAACCAAAATTCGTGTGTATGATTTACTTGTAAAATAGCCCCCAGATTCCAACTAGGAATTTAGAATGAAATTTTCCTCTGCCTTCCTCTTCCTTATCACTTAACTTCTGCACATTCTTCTTTCTCACCCTGCCTCCTCCTCTGGGCAAATAAATTATCTTTCCTACCTATGGCCGAGAAGTACAAAAGAAGTTTTTCATTTTTTACTTCCCCGTCTTGTCAGAACTAGCAGTGTCATAGAGAAACTCACTGGTTCAAATTTTGTAACAAGCCACAAAAGAACTTGACACGGGCTGGAGGAAGTGGGGGTGGGATTCAGGAAGCAGGGGGAAGGGCTTCTGGAGACCGGGGATGGGGTATTTCAGGGAGGCTGATAGGGCTATTTATGATAGGGGCTCTCAAACATGCCAAGCTTTTCCCTGTTACATGGTTTACCTATGCTGTCTACTCTGTCTGGAACATTTTTCCCCCGAACCTTCTTATGGCTTATTCCTTCACACCTGTTAAGGCCTCTGCTTAAAATGTTACCCTCTCAGAAACACAGAAGCCTTCCCTAAAACTACCCATCTTCTTCGCTCTAGCTTTTTACCCTGCTTTATGCTTTCTTAATGGCACTTAACCCTGTCTGAAATTATAATATGTATTTGCTGATTTTTTTAAATTGTCTTTCTCTCCCAAGAGAATGTAAGTTTCATGAATTCAGAAGCTCTTCTTTTTTCTTCTTCCTTTTTTTTTTTTTTTACTTCAGAAACTTGGTCTGTTTATTCATCACCTAGGACAGTGCCTGGAATTTTCACTGAATGACAGAACGAATTAATGGGGACAGCTCCATGACTGGAAACTGGCAGTACACTTGAAGCTAATGGGTAGGTATTCCAGGGTCCAGGATAAAAGAGCTGTGTGGACATGGAGGTTCAGCATTAGTATGTCTAGAGAGTGCCCTGTATAACAATATTAGCTGATGGATTATTTACCCCAGATACATAATCTAGGATTACTTTTGTGTAACCCAAACTGGAAAAGGATATTTATCTTTTTAAGATAATAAAGTTTTAATGTATTTTAAAGCAACCATTTATATATGGACCATGTAATTACAATGTAAGATTATTTAGACCACTGTTATTATGGAAGTACAAATAATTTTCACTATTATAGGAGAGCATTACACTAAGGATTGGTTAACCTAGTTTCAGTTAAAGTACATACATGAAAGTAGAAAATAGAATTTGAAGAATTCTAAAAAAGTTTCAAGTATTTATACCCTTTATAATTCAGAGGCCTTCTGCTACCCGCCCCCTCTCCCCATCTGCAATCCTCTTCCCCTACTCATTGGTCAAAAATATTGAGAGTTTTTTTATGTTGGATTCCTGGCTAGAAAAAAATTCATATTAAATATTTGAAAATACCTGTTTTTGTGTAGAATCCAGTTACTTTATTGGATCTGGTTGTAAGAAACTTAAGAAGCTTCTACATGGAGAAGATCCAGATGCCATATCAGGTATTGATTCAGATTTTTTCCTTCTTTATCATTAGGAGACTATTATAGCCAAGTAAGTTGGAAAGGAGCCAAGGGTGAGTATGTAATAAATATATAATGTTATAAAAAGTGGTTACATGAAGGTTATTTTTTTGATCTCCAGAGCAAGTTCTTCTGTAGTTCTTTTTGAAAGCCCTTTGTCTGATTACCTTTCATCTAAAAAGGTGAAAATTTTCTCTCTCAATGCTGCTTCCATGTCTCACCTCCTTTTCTGCCTATTACCTACCTGCCTGCTTCCTTGCTCCTGGGCTCTTTCTCGTCTCTTTTTCTGACTCTCTCAGATTTTTTCTCTTCTGTGTCATTCTCTCTCTCTCTCCCCTTCCCTTCTCTTTTCTAGGAAATGACCTAGTTTTATAGAGGGACCTGACCTTCCCAGTTGAATAGATGCCATGAATTGTTTCACTTGATGTCTTGTGGCAATTGATCTAATTCCTTAGTTTAGATTTTCTTTAAACTATCAAATATTTTCAGTATAAATTTCCTAAGATTGTCATGTGAGAGACAAAATAACATAATAGATCTAACTGTGGGTGCTGGGGCCAAATTGCCCAGGGAAGTCACTTAACCTCTTTGTGCTTCAGCTTCCTCGTTGACAAAATGGGAATAATAATAGCATCTACCCCACTGGGTAATTATTAAATATTTAATATTTATACTCAATATTAATATTGTAAATTTAAAATACTACAAAAATTTAAATTGTATTATTATTTAAATATTAAATACTATTAACATTTACTATTACTTGATACTAATATTGAGCCCTACTACGTGTCAGATACTGTGCTGAGCACTAACATGGACTTATAAAATTATTTCTTCTACACAATATTTTCTGTAGGCATTATTATTATCCCATTTTATAGGTAACGTAACTGAAGCTTTAGAGAGAAGTTAATTAACTTGGCCAACTAGAAAAGTGGGTTAATATTTTTTTCCTTAAAAAAATTTTCTGAGGCATTACTAACTTTTAGAAAAGAATTTATAGAGTAGGACATAAATTTTTTTGCCTGACTTACTTGGAACTTCTCAGCTAAAGGATTTTCTCTCATTCCCTTCTTTGAACACAAAGTATATGACAACAGGTATATTGCCACATGGATCCTGTCTGTTGGATGCAGTTAAACAGTAAACTAAGTAAGTATTCTGAACTTAGCATCTGGAATCTTTTTGGATTAATTCAATCATATCTTACTAAACTTCATTTGGCTGCCATTACTACATTAGCTTTTTACATTGAATTTCTCATTACTTTTGGCTTTTGAGGGAAGTGGAGGAGTTGTAGGCATTTAATATTTATTTCTGTTCAACAACATGCTTTAAAGAGAGATAATGAATATAAGTGCTCGCACAGTGCTATGTGATGCAAGCATTTGGAAAATGAAAAATGATTTCATAGTATTTTCCCCCAAATAGCTGAACTATTTTGTCTCTTCTTGAAGTTTATCCCTTGTTGAGTAAAACTGTCAGATTATATCATTATACAATTAATTGAATTTTTTTAAAGATTTTATTTATTTGTTAGAGAGAGAGAGAGCACAAGCAGGGGGAGAGGGAGAAGCAGGCTCCCTGCCAAGCAAGGAGCCCGATGCAGGGCTCAATCCCAGGACCCCAGGATCATGACCTGAGCTGAAGGCAGATGCTTCACTGACTGAGCCACCCAGGTGTCCCTTGAATTTTTAAATTGTCTTTCTGTTTTATGTTGTATGCTCTTTTCCCTATACTTGAATTTATTACTTCAATTCATGAGTGTTGGGCGCCTGGGTGGCTCAGTTGGTTAAGCGACTGCCTTCGGCTCAGGTCATGATCCCAGGGTCCTGGGATCGAGTCCCACATCGGGCTCCCAGCTCGGCGGGGAGCCTGCTTCTCCCTCTGACCCTCTCCTCTCTCATGCTGTTTCTCTCTCGCTCGCTCTCTAATAAATAAATAAATAAAATCTAAAAAAAAAAAATTCATGAGTGTTTTTTTTTTATTTTTTAAAGATTTTATTTACTTATTTGAGAGAGAGAACACGTGGGTAGAGGGGCAGAGGGAGAAGCAGACTCCCCACTGAGCAGGGAGCCCCACATGTTGCTTGATCCCAGAAACCTGGGATCAAGACCTGATCATGACCAGATGCGTAACTGACTGAGCCACTCAGGCACCTCATGAGTGTTGTTTTAAAATGTTCCTGATATCAAATATTCATGCATCCATCTCTTCAATTTTTCACTAAACATTTTTTGAATTATCTACTATGTACCAGACTTTGTATAAGCACCAAAAAATACAAAGATGTGTAAGATAATGTCCCTGCTTGCAATAAGCTCATGTACCATTGTTTAAAGTAACTGACACATAGTAGATACTCTAGATATTTGTCAAATAAATTAATTCAGTGAAAGAATTGATGTATGAGAGAGATAACCATTATAAATCAATCACAATAAAATATAATAGGGATATGGTCAAGCCAGAGGAAATCATGGAAGACTGGAGGAGGATTACCTGATCTAGTTTGAGGGGATCAGGCTAGATTTGTGGAAGAGATAGTGCTTAGTAGGAGTCTTAAATAATTAGATGTTAATTAAACCAAAAGAGTAGAGAAGGGAAGGATATTCTGGACAATGGAACATTGTGAACAAAAATAGGTAAGTGCTAGTAACTGCAGCCAAGGGGTGGGAAGAATTGAAACTAGAGAAATAGATAGATGTCAGATATTGAAGGGTTTCATTTAGCAACCAAGAAATTCACTAGGCAGGGGCGCCTGGGTGGCTCAGTCATTAAGCGTCTGCCTTCGGCTCAGGTCATGATACCAGAGTCCTGGAATCGAGCCCCTCATTGGGCTCCCTGCTCCACGGGAAGCCTGCTTCTCCCTCTCCCACTCCCCCTGCTTGTTTTCCCTCTCTCGCTGTCTCTCTCTCTCTGTCAAATAAATAAATAAAATCTAAAAAAAAAAAAAAAAAAAAAGTTCAAAAAAAAATTGACTAGGCAGTTGGGGAGGCATTGAAACTTATTTTCTTTTTAAAGAATTCGACAGAGAGAGCACAAGCAGGGGGAGGGGCAGGCAGAGGGAGAGGGAAAGGGACAAGCATACCCCCTACTGAGCAGGGAGCCCAATGCGGGGCTTGATCCCAGGACCCTGGGATCGTAACCTGAGCTGAAGGCAGATGCTTAACCAACTGAGCCACCCAGGCGCCCCGAAACTTATTTTTAAGACAGTGACATGCTAGCGGCACTCAAGTGGCTCAGTTAGTTAAGTGTCTGACTCTTGATTTCAGCTCAGGTCATGATCTCCACATCATGATCTCACTGTCGTGAGACAGAGATCTGCAAGGGCTCTGTGCTGGGCATAGAGCCTGTTTAAGATACTCTCTCTCTCAAGGGGAACCCTCTTACACTGTTGGTGGGAATGCAAGCTGGTGTAGCCACTCTGGAAAACAGTATGGATGTTCCTCAAGAAGTTAAAAATAGAGCTACCTTATGATCCAACAATTGCACTAGTAGGTATTTACCCCAAAGATACAAATGTAATAAATCAAAGGGGCACCTGCACCCCAATGTTTATAGCAGCAATGTCCACAATAGCCGAACAATGGAAAGAGCCCAAATGTCCATCGATGGGTGAATGGATAAAGAAGATGTGGTATATATACACAATGGAATATTACTCAGCCATCAAAAGGATGAAATAGTACCATTTACATCGACATGGATGGAACTAGAGGATATTATGCTAAGCGAAATAAGTCAATCAGAGAAAGACAATTATCATATGGTTTCACTCATATGTGGAATTTAAGAAACAAAAGAGGATCATGGGGAACGGAGAGAAAAATAAAATAACATGAAATCAGAGAGGGAGACAAACCATAAGAGACTTTTAACTAGGAAACAAACTGAGGGTTGCTGGAGGGGAGGCGGGTGGGGGGATGGTGTAACTGGGTGTGGGCATTAAGGAGGGCATGTGATGTGATGAGCACTGGGTGTAATATGCAACTGATGAATTACTGAACTCTATGTCTGAAGCTCAGGATGTACTATATGTTGGCTAGTTGAAGTTAAATAAAAAAAAAAAAAAGATTTTCTCTCTCTCTCTCCCTCTGCCCTCCCCCTGCTTGTACACATGCTCTCTCTCTCTCTCTAAAAAAAAAAAAAAAAAAAAAAAAGAGTGATGGGGCTGTATTTTTTTTTTTAAGATTTTTTATTTATACATTTGACAGAGAGAGTCACAGAGAGAGAGGGAACACAAGGGAGAAGCAGGCTTCCCGCCGAGCAGGGAGCCCGACTCGAGGCTTGGTCCCAGGACCCTGGGATCATGACCTGAGCCGAAGGCAGACGCTTAACGACTGAGCCACCCAGGCACCTCTATATGGCTGGATTTGTATTTTAAATAGAGCATGCTTAGCAGCAGTATGTAGAATGGGTTGGCAATATTCTTAGGAGATATTACAGTAGTCCAAGTGAGAAATGATTTAGTCCTGTACTATGGTAGAGGCAAGAGGGATGGAGAGGATGGGACAGGTTTGAGAAATATATAGGAAGTATAATTGGCAACACTTGACTGCTTCTGGGGCTCAGGAAGAAGGGTGACTCAAAGATGACTCTCAAGCTTCCAGGTGGGGTGACTGCTGCCAATCCAGACAGAAAAACAGGAAGAGGAACGTGTTTAGGGAGATGCTTTTTTAAAGATTATGTATTTATTTATTTGACAGAGAGAGAAAGCACAAGCAGGGAGAGCTGTGGAGAGAGAGGGAGAAGCAGGCTCCCCACTGAGCAGGGAGCCCAATGTGGGGCTCCACCCAGGACCGTGGGATCATGACCCGAGCTGAAGGCAGACACTTAACCAACTGAGCCACCCAGGCACCCCCAGGGAGATGATTGAATCCGGCTTGGCCTTTTGATTTAAGATACGTGTCGTGTGGGACATCCTGGTTGAGCTTTTCAGCAGGGTAGCTGGATGTGCACCACTGCAGCTCAGGGGAGAGATAAGAGCTAAAACTAAATATCTGGGAGCACGTGGAAACTGAGGTCATTTGCAGTACATTGGGTAAAATAGGGATCCAAGAATAAAACATTAAGGAACACCAGTAGTCAAGGGGTGAGTAAAGAGGAACCTATGAATGAGACAGAGAAGCGATGTGAGGAGGGGAATGAGTGAAGTCATGCCCATAAAACCAAGGAGATGTAGCATTTTAAGGAGGAGGACTCCATGTGGCAGATTCGGACTGCACCAACTCTCTGGAGCCAATTAGTGGAGAGCTGTTTCAGCAGTTTGAGAGACAAAAACCAGGTTGCAGTGGGATGAAAGGGAATGAATGGATCAAGAAATTAAGAGTGGGTGAACGATAAGGGGAAGAGAGAAAAGTGGACAATAATTGGGGCGGTGCTGAGTCAAGCCAGAGGTTCTAGTAAACTGATCTGCTGAGAAGAGAGCAGAGGACATGTGCTCAAGGGCACGGACCACACGTGTGCCTGGCACAGGAGGAGTGATATTGGAATAAAGATGACAGTGCGTGTGGATGTAAATAAATGTGTAGGTTCAAGGTGGAAAGTTGAGAGAGATTGTCAAGTGATGCACTCATTTTCCTTGACGAAGTAGGAAGAGGAGATATTGTCTGAGGAGTTGGACCAATGAATGGATCCTGTGAGAAGAGGAGGATGGTTTGCAAAAGTCAGGGGAATGGGAAAAGCAGCTGAGAAAGGACAAGTAAATGAACTGATGAGGAATTCTAAGCACCCAGATGACGTAGATTACAAATTTTAGTGGTGCCAGTTTGTACAGTATGATTTTGTCGGCAGCACTTACTGACTTGAATGCCAGAGTGGAAAAGGCAGATTCAAGCATTGATGAAGAGCTGGGATTTTGGGTCATCGGGCGTTGCAGGATAGGAACACATGCGTTCGTGAGAAAGTGGTTCAAATGTTTGATTCTGTGTCTAACTCGGGAGAGGAAAGAAGAGGTGATGGACAAAGAAAAGTGGCACGTGAGGATTTGACATTCTGAGAATGACAACAATTGTGACAGCTCTAAAGCCAGTATATAATAGTGGGAACTAAGGTAGGGCTGATACTAGTAATACTTACACACCTAGAACTGAGGTTACTGAAGACTTAACGAGGAAAAAGTACAAAAAGTTCGGCACATGGTATACACTCATTTTAAGCTACTACTATATTGTTATTTGAAGGACAGTAGATTCTGGATAGAGAGTTGGGTGCAGGAGTTTAAATTTTCAAAGGCAGTATAATTCCAGGGTATCATCATAGGTGTGTTTAAGTAAAAGCCGTTATAGTGAAGATAGATAAAAACCCTAAAATTGATGACCTTCAGGAGTTCAAAGCCTACTCTGATTGAGAATTGCTTTGGTGTATGTCGAGGCAAAGGTGTCTTCATCTGTAGATGAGCATCAGGAGAGGCTTAGTTGTACATGCTAAGACAGCTCACAGAATAGTGAAAAAAGCACGGCTCATGTTCATGAAATTATTTGTGTTTTGATCATGCCTCTGATGGGGTTCATGACATGCCACCCCAAAATATGACACTTGGCATATTGGAAACTTTACACTGAGTCTGAGAACATGGCAGAAGCACGAAAGTTACCCTGACCTCCTCCCCCCTTGCCCATCTCCCCTGATAAAAGCCATAAAACCATCCTGTTAGAAGTGCCCTCCTTACATTCAAGGTAAGGAGCACCTTTATCTCTGAAAACAAAGAGGGACACCAAGAAGAGTTGGAACAAACAGGCTGTGCTAAGTTTTCCCCAGTTTATTACAATTATCTAATACTCAGCCTATCATATTCTTCCACAACTAGCATAAAAGTGCAGAGGACTGTTTCTTTGAGTTTTCATTTCCTTGTGGAGGTTCCTGTGGCACACAAAACTTAATTTGTATGCTTTTCTCCTCTTAATCTGTCTTCACCAGTTTACTTTTGAGACCCAGCCCAGGGACCCTAAGAGGGTCAAGGAAAACTTTTTCCTCCCATATACCTCCAATTTATTAGCCATATCACTTAAATTCCTTGTGTATTTGTCTTGAAACTGGGGTAGGAGTTCCTTGCTTCTCCTACTTTATGGAGACATTTTGAAGATCAAATGAAACAATGTATGTAAAATAAGACAGTATGTGTTTTGCTATGAAGCACTTTGTAAAGAAGCAGTTTTATTACTCTGAGGCAAAGAAGAAATAAGAAATATCATCCACCATATTCTGGAAAAAAACAAGTCCAGCATAAGGCCAGTTTGGATATGTACATCTCAGGGTTTTTGTTTTGTTTTTTTTACTTGCTTTTCCAACCTTTTTTTTTTAAGGTTTCACATTTTGCCAACACTTGACAAAGAGTTTGGAGAAAAAAGGAAAGGACAGTAAGGACAGTTCAGTATCTTCACCAATTGGCTCTTCAGATTAATAGTAACCTCAGCATCTCTTTGAAACAAGCAAAAAAAAAAAAAAAAAAAAGAAAGAAATTAATTAAGGAATTTCAAAAATACCCTCCAGAAGCTTTCAAAAACACACTCCAGAAGCTTAACATTTCTGGGGCAAGAAACTACAGTTTGTAAATACAAACAACTCTCTGGTGGTTGTCTCAAACTACTATACTTAGACTTCAGAGGCAGGGTAGCCTAAAGATTGTAAGTGTGATTATGCTTAAAATATGTTAAGGAAGGTGGACAAAAGGTATACACTTCTACTTGTATAAGTCACCAGGATATAATATACAGCATGGTGACTATAGTTAATAATACTGTATTGCACATTTGAGAGTTGCTGAGAGAGTATACCTTTAAAAAGTTAAGAAAGTTTTTAACTTTACAGAGGAATACAAATTAAGTTCATGTATGCTGATTCACTTAATTATTATGCCATTAAAATCACTCACTAAATTTGCTATTATTGGGGGGCTGGTACAGTTAATTTTCTTAAAAATTTTTTTTCCCCACAGAAAAGGATCATTTCATGCATTTGTTCTCTGAAGAAAACATGCACTTTTCCTTAGTATGTATTATTTTTAAGTTACTCTTTTAGGCTACTGTGAATCATCTAGATAGGGTAAGATTTTTTTAAGTAGAATGTTTTAAAAGTCACAAATTTAAAATTCTTCAATATTTAAAACCATGATTTTGCCTTCTCTCTCTCTTAATTCTTCATTATGAAAAGGTTTCAGAGGGCTGAAATACAGTGTACTTTTTAAAATCATGTGCAATTTTTTTGTGTATATGTGCTATGGTGTTTTTCTAGGAAGTAATCCATAGCCTCACTAGATTCTCAAAAGGTATTATGATCTAAGCACATTAAGAACCACCGAATTAGAAAATCAACACTATCGATTCTGTCTTCAGAGAATATACTAAGGGCCTTTTTGATATATATTTATATGTTTTCCAAATTTTGCTTTTGCTTTGTGGCTAAACCATTATTTTCAACGTTCAGATATTATGTTAAAATAAGGGTATTAGCTGGATGAATTCTAAGTTCCTGCCAATATAAAATAAAGCAAAAAACAAAGTAAAATAATTTCATGACACACAAGATATAACTACCCTAATCTGTGTGTGGTTCTTTTGAGTTGAGGAGGAAATTAATGTACCTCCACTAGAAGACCTGAAAGGATGGTCCTAGAGAGATCAGGAAAACACTGGAAACATGGAGCCAAATGCTCTTTATTGGAGGGGGTACAGGGGAGAGTCTCCTTATTAGGAAAGTCTCCATTTTAATGTTCTATGTGAAACAGGTGGGAGGATTGCTCACCATCACTGTGAAAGGCTGGTACTTTGAGAAATGCATGAAGGATATTACCATGTCCTCGAATCTGCTGCTCAGAGGATTATATACAACCTTAAGGAAACATCTTCCCTCTGAGCCTGTTTTGTTTTGTTTTTAATTTCTAGAATAAAAACGTACATGCATAGATTTGTATTTCTAAGATTGGAACAGAAATATCAAAGATACAAAGGCGAATGTGGTGTGTGGTATGGTAGGTAACATGAGGATGTGGGGTCTGGTGTCAGAGACTTTGATTTACTACTTGCCCTATTTGAGTTCAAAAGGGAAAATGTTAGCAAATGAGCTCCCTAGATTTGGTGAAATCCAATTTAGAATTAGAATTACTAAGAATTGTTCAGCAATGCTTGAAATGTTTTACTATTGTATAAAGTTAATGAAAATTTCTTATAACACTCCCTAATAAAACTTATTTGATCAACATATATATACTACTATTCAATTAAACTTGTTTACAAAGAAAAATTGACTTCTACTGAATGGTCTTTGGAAGTTCTGAGGCGTGAATTCCTAACCCAACAATTCCGCTCCCCCTAGTGACAGGTCCACAAATTATAGTTACCCTGCTTAAGAATTCCCAAGGGTATTATCATTCATTTTTTTTTTTTAGGTTAAACCTTTTTCCTTTTTGAGGGAGGACTTATAAACAAAGGGTTTTCTCCCCCCATAAATAAAGTTCAGCTCCAGTCATCAAAAAGATTACCTCCTGTTAGAATATTCAGTAAATTTCTGTGAAAATTAACAGTCTGATTCATTAGTGCTTAAGACTCTGCTTAAACTTCTCAGGCACATTCTCAGGTACTACCCACGTGAATTTTTTTTTTTTTTTTTTGAGGTGCCTGGTGGCTGTCGGTTAAGCATCCAACTCTTGGTTTTGACTCAGGTCATGATCTCAGGGTCGTGAGATGGATCCCATGTTGGGCTCCGTGTTGCTGAGCCTGGAGCCTGCTTGGAATTCTCTCTCTCCCTCTCCCTCTGCCCCTCCCCCAATCTCTCTCTCTCTAAAAAAAAGAAAGATTTTCTAACTGGAAGAAATAAATGTTTTGACAAAACTTTTCTCTCATAATTTATATACATAAAGAATGTTCAAGACTGAAAAGGCATTCTTGAGACCTTTTTCTCTGGCATTCTTTCTTCCCTGTACTCTCTACAAGTGTTTTTGGAAGTGTTTTTAGTATACAATTGCTTATGTGCTAAAAAGATTTTTGACCATAAAATCCAAAATGTTAGTATCACAACCCCAGCTCTTGTCACTTGACTCTGACCAGTGATACTAGGCAACTCTTTTGTTGCCGGATTTATTCATAAGTATAATAATAATTGATCTGTGCCAGCACTCTGTTTCTGGCTGGGACCCGCCATACCACATGGAACCACCTGTAAACCAGGTTTGAATTTTTTCTCTGGTTATTAGGTAACCTCCATAAGGTCACAGATGTGGGCTGAGGGAAGGTAAACAGTGTGTGCAATATAAGTGCTCTGAGCCTGAGCTCATGAAATGTACTTGTCCAGCCTGAGTCTAATCTTGTAGATACCACTTCCTCTTGACACTAACATGCTGCTGTGCATGCTTAACCTGCAGCGGGGCAGGGCAATGAGCCCAGACAGCAGAACCGAGAGCAGTCTCTCTTGTTCAGTTTGCATGAACATATGTATGGAGATGATGTCTAATGGTTTGACCAGAGGATCAGACACTCGACAACTACAAGAAACCTGGCAACTAGAAACTTTAGGAAAGAAGTATATGGATGGATGTCTCAGAGTAGTCCCCAAGTGTGAGGATATTTGTGTTTTATGTGAAAGCTCATCAAAAGGCCTCTATAGGGAAGGCTCTTGGTATCAAGGGGACAACGTAGCCTATACTGTGAATGCTGGCTAGCTTCTTGCCCCAGCCATCCTAGCGCTTGCTCAATTGTGCTACATTCTGGGAAAGTTCCCTCGGCTTTTTAGCCTTTGGTAGTGTCCATTCTGCTATTCAGCCCATCAACTAAGCATAAGTAATCCTATTTTTAAATTTCTAGGATCTGTCTTTGTTATAGTAACGTGTTGTGATAGATGCAATCGCCTCATTAGTCTTTTAGAGACTATTACAAAGTTTATTTTATTCCCTTAGGGGTTCATTCTTGTTTGTTGGATTGGTGTACATTATGGTGGTTTTTTTTTTTTTAAGATTTTATTTATTTATTTGACAGAGAAAGACACAGCGAGAGAGGGAACACAAACGGGGAGTGGGAGAGGGAGAAGCAGACTCCCCGCCGAGCAGGGAGCCCGATGCAGGACTCAATCCCGGGACTCCAGGATCATGACCTGAGCCGAAGGCAGTCGCTTAACCAACTGAGCCACCCAGGCGCCCCACCATTGTGGTGTTTTAAGTATCCCTCAAATGTTTAATGTTTGGTTGTCCTTTTTTTTTTTTCTTTTACAAATTCCTGTCTACCTGTTGAATCTAAGATCAAATTATGGTGCCTTTCCTCGGTAGGAGGACCTATGGTGCTAAGTGCCCTAGGGTCCTGCCTTGTCAGAATTCTTTCTAATGAAGCATGAGCTCTTATTTTTAGCCTGAGATCAGTGCCACAATCAGCTGTTCCCTTTAAGATTTTTTTTTTTACTCTGATGTCTTTAGTGGATATAAAACTATTTTAGATTGTTTCCCTGTCCAACCCTTACACTTCAACTCTTTCTGCTGAGCCTCAATTCCAAGAAAGTAAGGCTCAGCTGTTTCCAATTCATTCTTTTAATGGCTCGCCCATGATCTCCTATTCTCTGTATTTGTCCTAAGATTAAAATATCTCTGGAATTTTTATGTATTTAGTAGTTTTCTCCTGCTCTGATCTGGGACATGGGCTTTCTTGTTCTTGATTCTCTAACAATCTAACCTCATTTATTTTTCTTCTTTTAGAAATTCCTCCACTTTTGTTCATCAATAGCACCCTTTGTGTTTCCTAGAGTCACTTAAGGATTTACTCTTCTATCAAGATACAGTACGAACTATTTCACGCACACAGTATAGATTCTACTACGATGAACACCCATGTGCCCATCATCCAACTTGAGAAAGAATTTATCACAAATAGCACTGAAGTGTTCCCTGTGTATTCCTCCCGATCTCATTTACGTTCTTCCCTTCTCTACTAGAATTGTTTAAAGGGATTTGGGACATGAAGTAGGTGAATATGATCAGTTTGCTATTCCATGCCAAACACCACTAAATTAAAAATTTCCAAAATCAAGATAGAAAAGTGTTTGAGAGGACTGCTCTGTCTTAATCATTGATGTAAATCCGAACTATTTATTGTCTTAAGGGTTATACAATGCATGGCCAACACTGGAACATATTTCCACGTATGCAATTTACAGTTAAAAATTATGAACTCTAACGTAGCTAAGTTCTCACCCCACTTTTAATGAATTTTAAATTAGGATTTTATCAGTATCTTTCCAAAATAATTGATATCTTTAATATATCACTTCAATGTTATTATTTATAACTAATGGTAAATGTTCCCTTTAAAGTCAACTTACTGTATAATATTAAAATAAAATCCCTAGCAATAAAGTTTCTAAATTAGATAGGTATTGAAATGGATGGGAGCTTTAATGCTCTAGAGACAGAGGATAAAGGTCTATGTTCATTAATTTCAGAAATGAATTTTTTGTGTCTCAAAGATGACCACTATGAGATGCACACTGCATACAGAAATTAGTTTACTGTAGTACATGTGAACACACACACACATCATTCTCAGCAAAATGTAACAGAAGACTTCAAGGCCAGGGCATGTTCTGGGAATGCAGCTTTGAGGAATGCTTGCTCCTCGCAGGAAAAACACCTGGTTGGTGATGATTAAGTATTCTGCCTGTCCAACATGAGATCCTGCCAAGTCAAGGAAGCCCTTTAAATAGGGACCTACCTTTTTACCTCCACCACATCATCTTGAAATTCTAACAGTTACACTGAATGGCTGCAAAACCTTATTTTATACTATCAGCACCTTCTTGCTACACTGCCCACAGATTAAGTGCTAGTAACTGGGTAACACACACTTAATTTGCAACTTCCAGCCTAAGTCTAGGAAGGACTGACCAAGTCCCAACCCAACAAAATCCAAGTGAAATTGTACTTGACATCTCTTTCACTCTGATCAGCATCTGTCTCTTCACCTTAATTTTCCTTTGGGAAACTACTTGCTTTTACTCTATGCTATCTTAGTAGCACTGTCAAAGTCCCTGAAGGCATGGGGTAAATGCATGATCCTAACTAGGATAAAGAAACTGGTAGGGATTTGATTCATGAACATAATGACATTAAGATAGAAAATAGAGAAGCTATTTTGATGGCAGGTCTCTAAAAGGACTGTTTCTCAATTTCTGTAACCTAGATTCCTAAGGTTATCCTGGTTTTTTATCCTTCCTAAGGCTGTTGGTCCAGTCTTTTCTTCTAATTTTACAAAACTCTGTCCTACTGATAAATTTTGTTTTGCTTAGGATAGCCCAAATGAGTTCCTACTGTCTGCAAGCACAGAAGCCTACCTGCTCCATTCATTAACGTCATTACCAGCTGTTCCCTTAAATGGGAAATCTGTAGCTTTTAACAGCTTACTGTGTCTACTGTGAGTCATATAAGGGTTTTTTTTTTTTGCACCCCGTATAAGCATTTTTAAAACAAACCACTAACATTTGTTTCAAGAGCTTTTGACCAACCCTGAGTTAACTTCAAATTTCTTTTCATCCTAAAAAACGGTACAGTATTTTTATGAATGAAATAATACATTTCTGCCAACACAGTACTGATCAAAAAGCACTTTAATAAATTGGCTTTGGTTTCCACCCTTTCCAACTTATTCTAAATAAAAAATAAATGTAAAACACAAATAAGATTAGTCTTCCCAACTTTAGTATGTATAAATAAAAATGACAATTTTTAGATAAAATACGTAGTTATAAAAGAGAAATCATATCAGCCAGAAAACACTTTAGCCAATCCCTCCCAACTCAAAGTCACACAAAACAGCCTTCCAAGGAAAACTGACCAGTGAGACAGGTATGTTCATGCTCTCAGCTATAAGGAATTAAATTTAAAATGCATTCACTCTTTCATCTTCTAATGAAAGATAACCTACTCTCAGGAACAATGTGAGCACTGTTATGGTAGTCTAACTCCTAAATGAAAATATGAGCTGAGATACAGTTTACTGTAATAATGTAGCTAAGAAACCTTTGAAAATTAGCCAAGGATCAAAGTATTTACATAAGTTTAAGAGCTTATCTTAGGATGAAAGGTAACACAGGTCCTTAACCTACTTTAAAAAGATAATTGAAATTAAACCTTTAATTCAGAATGTTTCTTAAATATCAAATTTCTCTTCACAGATGCTATGTCCATTTTCTTCATAATCTTCTCTTGTTACTACCATATCTTCAAAATCGTCATTCTCTGATATCAATTTTCCACCTTCCCAGGCATAAGTAATAGGGCTAAAAATAAAGTTAAGATAAGTGAACCCAGATTATTTTACAGAACTGAAATGCCAGAAAACATTCATTAGTAACTAAAACGTGGCAATCTCTACCCAACTTGATTTAACAGAAAATCACTTAAAGTGTGAAAATAAGCATAAGCTTCATAGGAATAAGGTAAACTAAGAAAGAAAAGAACCTTGGTCACTAGTACAACTAAGTTCTTTTTTTCCCCCTGTGCCCTGAATTTATAGACCCTCTACTTCTAATTAAAAACAAGAATACAATAGGTCAAAAATGCATAAAAGGAAAAACACTGTCATAACTGGACCTAAATTTTGTATGTGGCAAAGATATGTCATCTATTTTGCACAACAACCCATGAAACAACTACAACCATTCTCCCATTTTACAGATTTGGAAAATGAAGTTCGGAAAGGTTAAGTGTGGGACTACGTTTTAACCCAGAACTTTTTTTAGTCTGTGCTTTTGCTGCTACACTGTTACCTCTAATAAATGAAACATTTACATGATAGGACATGGTCAGTAAAACTAGAACACATAAAACATTTAGTTTGGTTTTATCTTCAACCAAGGTTATACTTTGTGTTATGACTCAATTCTATTTCTACTGTTCCTCTCCTCCAAATCAGTTTAAAATCTGAAAAATAATGAAAAGTTAATAAATGTTTTTATTCATTGTATTTCCTAACCTTTAAATATACATTTACCTACGTACATATAACATACATACATATATAAAACAGTTGTACAATAAAAATTTGATGAATAAAAGAATAAAAATTATTTCTGTGGATCCCTTGGCCTGTAATGTATGCATGACTTGCATTTCAAATGCAGGATAAAAAGTGTGTAGGGGGGAAAAAAAAGCAAAAAAAAAAAAAAAATTCGTGGGGAATAATGAAACATGGTGGAAAAATAATAATTAAATACACAGGATAAAAATCTAGTATGCTTCATTTTCTACAAAGTATATGAACATTAATGCTGACAAATATTATTCCAGCAATTGTTTATTCTTTAATCTGATAGCTATAAATTACGTGAGCAGATGAGGGCCTTCTATTTACAGCTACTGATTTAGAAAAATTCTACTTTACTTTAAAACAAAACTCTAGGGCACTTGGGTGGCTCAGTTGGTTAAGCAACTGCCTTCGGCTCAGGTCATGATCCTGGAGTGTCTGGATTGAGTCCCGCATCGGGTTCTCTGCTCGGCAGGGAGTCTGCTTCTCCCTCTGACCCTCCCCCCTCTCATGTGTCTCTCTCTCTTTCTCTCTCTCTCAAATAAATAAATAAAATCTTAAAAAAAAAACCAAAACTCTAAAATTAAGAGTCAGGTATATGGGGCGCACCTGGGTGGCTCAGTCGGTTAAGTGTCTGACTCTTGATTTTGGCTCAGGTCATGATCTCAGGGTCAAGGGATCGAGCCCTGTGTCAGGCTTTGTGCTGGGCATGGAGCCTGCTTAAGATTCTCTCTCTCCCTCTGCCCCTCCCCACAACTTCTCCTTGTTCACTCTCTCTCTCTCTCTCTCAAAAAAAAAAAGTCAGGTATATGGAGTCTTATTTGCAACTCTGCCTGGCAACTTAAGACTGGGACAGCAGTGAGGGGGTGTTATTTAGACATATTTTTGGTAAGAGACATGTATTTGTTCCCAACTCAAGATAAAGAGAACTAGATTTTAGTCTGGTCACTGCTATTAACTTATTTTAAGGCCTATAACTTATTATAAGGCCTCTGCCAAGTCATGAGCCCTTGTTTCTTTATTTACAAGGTGAAAACGTTGAACAGGATGTGGCCCCACTAAGCTCCTTCCTCAGGAACTACACTCAGCATCTTAGCATCAAGCTGCCCACTGAAATGTCAGGTTTATTATTTTAATTTTTGAGAAAGGGAAAATAAGGATTCCAAAGGTGAAATAAACCTGCTAGAACCAGGCTTTAAACTCAAGCCTACCTATTGACCATTTTATCTACAAAATGACTTGCATGTTTTATTTCTATATCAGCCAACACTTACTTTTCAGGCAGCACAACTGAAACATCATAATCTGTTGGAGTGAGACATCGAACTTCTGAGTAAACCCGATCTCTAAATCCTGGGAAAAGGGAATTTCCTCCTGTCAAAACAATGTTCTTAAAAAAATGCGGCTGCATTTCTTTAAGAGGGAAAAAAAAGAAGAAGAAACGGCATCAGAAAACCTGTTTACTTATCTTTCGAGAAAGATAGATATGAGGGCTTAGGCAAGAGCAAACAGTTAAGAGTTACCGGTTAGGAAACCATATAACTTTTTAATAACCATAAAAATTATTTATAATTTATAAGATTTTATAATGAAGTTAAAGTTTACAAAAATTGACCCATTAAACAGAGTGAAATATGACCTCATAGATCTTTAAAAGAAAGGCTAAGGTGAAGAGGTTGAACTACTGACTACTTATATACACATGTAAGCTAATACATAAATGAGTAACATTCTAGCAGCAGAAGTTTGGTAATTATACTTGTTCTTCTCTAAAATGGAGGAGGTCTGTCTGTAGGCTGAGACTGTGAGCTAAGGTAAGGTTAAAAAGGAGGGCCTTCAAGGCATTTTAACTTGGAAGCCCAAACTTCCATGTGATCTCACTGAGACAGACCTATTTATCGTGCAACGTTACATTTGACAGTGAAAAATACTCATGATCCATAATAATAAAGGAGCTTATGTTCTACACTCAAAGTTACAAGATGGCAAACCTTATTAGGTGCTATATGGTTAGCTGGTATTAAAAGCCACCATGGGGAAATCTAAGAGGAATTAGTAAGTAATGACCACCACACCTAAGGCTTCTGTTCACAAAAGCAGCACACAGTCCACTTATACTGACAGTCTCATGGCATTAAAGCAGTGCAGTATAAAATGCTGTACAGCACCACCTACAACTTCATGTAACACACGAAATTGATGAGACATTAATACGAAAACAGTTGTGAAATAACTACATTAAGGTGATGGCATTATGTGATTTTCTTTTTCTTTTTTTTAATGGGACATTAAAAAATTGCAGGAGCTAGATTTTCTCCAATGCCTGCACTGTTCCTTATGAACTAGGAAGACACTTTCAAGATATGAAAGTTCTCTCTAGCACTCTAGAAAATTATTTAGGTGAATCCTGCTTCAGGAGAACCCACACATCACTGAGAAGCACCATACTTCAGCCTCATTAACTTCCTGTATATTAGTCCAAATAAAACTGAAAAGACAAACCAGTCCCATCAATAGCTAAAAACCATCATTTTGTTAAATCATAAATTTCTATTCCGTGTAATTTGAGTTAAATTAAAACTTTTCTAAAACAAGATACAGCACTTTAATAGTCATGAAGAGATTAATTTCTTCAAGTTTAAGCAAACCATAACTCTACCTGTATCAAATTTCTAATCTAGGACCAATAAAGAATTATTCAAATGCACTACGGGACCTGAAATCTCTGCAAATAAAACAGGCTTGCCACGTGCCTGAAATTACTTAGAAACCGCAGGTGAGGGGCGCCTGGGTGGCTCAGTTGGTTGAGCGACTGCCTTCGGCTCAGGTCATGACCTGGGAGTCCCGGGATCGAGTCCCGCATCGGGCTCCCTGCTTGGCAGGGAGTCTGCTTCTCCCTCTGACCCTCCTCCCTCTCATGCTCTCTGTCTCTCATTCTCTCTCTCTCTCAAATAAATAAATAAAATCTTTAAAAAAAAAAAAAAAGAAACCTCAGGTGATTTCTCTATAGTTCACAGAGCTTATGAGTTTTTTTAGAAATATCATTCCCATTCAATACTTTATTCATGTACCTTCAGGTACTTACCTTCAGGTAAGTTCTGAATTGAATAGACAATAGCTTCTGGAATACCCATTTCTTGAATGCCTATATCAGAAGGATTAAAGAGTATTTCTGGAACAGCAAATCTCTCATTGGCCAGACGAAGAATTTGTTCCCCAGACTTATATTTTCCACTTAACACCATCTCTTCCCTTGGCTTAAAGAAAAATAAGATAAAAAAGTTTAAGCTACATTATCTAGTCCATACGACTAATAACATTTAGTAACATGTTATTACTAATGTATTAACCATGTTCTTGGAAGTTTCAGGATTCTCAAAAGTTAGAAAAATGTGGCCTTCTCTGTTGCCTAAACCACACGAATAAATAATTGCTCATTCTAATGCAGCTGTTCTCCAAAAGATGATCTGGCCTTATTCCTTACATTTTAAAACAGAAAGAAAGGAGAACAGAGGAGAGGGAACTTCTTAACCTGCCTATAATAACAGACCAACTTCAGTTCCTAGAGAACAAAGAACATACTCCAAAAAACATGTAGTATGTCTTACATTTCTATCACTACTACCTACTTTCACTCTCCTATGTATGCATGTATGTATGTATGTATGTATGTATTTTTAAGTAAACTCTACGCCCAACATGAGGCTTGAACTCATGACCCCAAGTTCAAAAGTTGCATACTCTACAGACTGAGCTAGCCAGGCACCCCCACTCTCCTGTTCTAGATGTTTAGTGGATCTTGTGGCTGTATTCTATCAAGATATCCCCTTTCCCAGGCAAGCCCTTCAGGTCTCCTCCCTCCTTGGGAGCTTTGTACTATCACTTTGCTATTAATAAACCTTGCTTTCCTGCCCCCCCAAAAGATTTCCCTTTTCCCTTGTACAAAAAACCTAAATATTTAAATTCATTTATTCAATCTTCAGAAATCAATTTTGAAATCCATGGACTTCATCAATGCAATTTTCTTGTTATTTATATTCTGCTGAGCTGTGTTCCTGAGGGGCCAGAAAAAATAATCTTCTACAACACTCTACATCATTAAAATAATGGTCCTTCCAATTTTACTAAGAATCATCAGCTCTTCTAGGTTCAATTATAGACATTCACTTGCTATTATATATGCAATTGTCCTCCTGAAACAGCGCATAACCCAATCTTTTATATAAGTAAAAAATACTTAAAATATATAAAAATATTAATAATTACTAAAGAGTAATGTATTTAAAGAATATTACAGATCCCTTAATATAATCAGTCATCTATTCTCTGTCCAGATTTCTGCTTCCTCAAAGAGGCTTTTGCTGACTTCCAAATAAGCGGTCCCTCCATTATTCTCCACTATCACTCTATATTATCCTTCATAGTTTATACTGTTCACCATCAGATGTCTACTACCTAGCACATAATGAGTACTCAATAAATTCTTGAATAACATCATGTAAGTCAACAATGTGCCAGTCATTGTATTAGGCATTTTATCTACATTATCCCATTGAACTCTCACATAACCCCATGAGGTAGGCATATTTTCCTTTTATTAATGATGTAATTGGGTTTGGCAAGGTTACATGACTTGCTTGAGATCATTCATCTAATAATCAAAAGCACATACAATATATTCCTTCCACTACATTGCCTCTCTTAACCTGGCTATAATTCTGAATTCTATCATCTGGAATCTGGAAAGTCCAAGTTCGAAACATTATTCTTAAACAAGAATATCCAAAAATTACACAATTCTCATAATACTTAAGGAAGAGAAAGGAAAACTTTTAACCCAATAAACTACTGTTACAGTAGCAAAGAGGAAAGTATCCTCTCAGAGTATTCTTTCTTCTTGGGCAGAAAGGAAAATCTCTCCTATAAATTTATAAATTCACTTAAAAGTGATACTGGCTTGAGTTTAAAGGATATAACTCACTTTGTCAACACTCAAAATAAGTTGAAACAGATGCACACTTGGGAGAAATTCAGTTGACAAACATTAGTGATTATATAGTCCATCACCCAGATTTTACAGAAGAGGATCATGTGATTGTCCCAGGCTCAAATATCTAAACTAGGGGAAAGAGCCAGAACCAGATATCCTTGTTGAATATTGGCTCTAAAACCATTCATCAGCAATATATAATGTGGAACTACAAGCAGTTTCTGTTTTAAGAGTACAACTCCAAAAAAGATTTTTTTAGACATAGACAAAAGAAGGAATTTATAAGGGCTACTGGGTGTTGCTATGTTAGTCAATGTAGGCCATGATTACTACACAGCCTCATAAATTTGGTCCAGTACTATAAAAGAAATGATCAGTTTAAATTACAATGGCTCTGCAGAAACTGTTCCTGTAATCATTAATCATGAGCCAGATTTTCTCAATTTAAGTCCATCAAGTACATTACATTTCAGGAGGCATCCCCTTTCTGATAAGAGATAAAATTGAAATCAGTAACAATATTACAGAGCTTATTATTGTTTTTGTTACTATCATAAGTACTAGAAAATGAAGATTGTACATTTTCCCAATTATTTAAAAATATTCTTGAATAAACTACCAAAATCCAAGTTTTAACAATATCCTAAGGATAAGGGCACTCAAATAATAATTTTTTTCATTTTATGTAGTTATTGTTTTTCTAATTTCATAAACATATATCAACTTTCATCAGAGTTGTTGCATATCAGGCAAAAATGAAGTTAATGAAGTACTAAATTCAAAATAACACTTTTTTTTTACTCTTCTGAAAATTACACATTTTAGGATTAATCCTAACATATACTAAATAAAATTTTTTCTAAATCTTAAAATTATTAAGATATACACATGATTTTTTTTTGTTTGTATTTTTGGGGTTTTTTTTTCAATATACGCACGATTTAACATGTATAGGTAGTTCCTGAACATGGGTTTGAACTACATGGGTCCACTTATACACAGATTTTTTTTATAATATGGTACTGTAAATGTATTTTCTTTTTCTTATGACTTTTTTGATAACATTTTCTCTCTAGCTTACTTTATTGCAAGAATATAATATATAATGCATATAACATACAAAATATGTGTTAATCAACTTTATGTTATCAGTAAGGCTTCTAGTCACCAGTAGGCTAGTAGTAGTTAAGTTTTTTGTGGGGGTGGGAGGTGTCAAGGTATACACAGATTTTCAACTGCATGGGGGGGAGGGATGTCGGTTGGCACCTCTAACTGCCACATTATTCAAGCTCAAGGACACTGAAAAAATTATAAATTTTAACATTAATTGACAAAGTAAAGATTGAACTATTATTTTTGAAATAAAAACGCAATGTAATATTCCATCATCTGGCAAAAGTCCAGGCCAACTGACTCTCTTCATTCAACTGATAACAAGGAGTCTACACTGAGTTAATGAAGCTTAACCTATAACCAGATACTGATCACAAAGCTAAAGGCCAATAAAAGAGCTGCAAACAGTATTATGTGGCTTCTGCCCTTTTTCTCCAAAGATGATGAGTAAAACAATGGTCACTTGGAGGAATAACCACATTCCTACTGGCTATGTAAGGTACAGGTTTGAGAAAACAGGGTTTATACTTTGGCAAGGAGAAAACTGGCTGCATTTAGCCCAGTAAACTGATAAGGTGTTATTTGCAGGGCAGGAGGGAACTACATTAAAAAAAAAAAAAAATTTTTCAGACTTAGCTGACAGTACAATTATCTGGAAGAGATTTTTAAGATTAAGTTTTCAAACAAGGATTTCCAGGGACAGGAATTGAGAACATAGATACAGATTATTCTTCAAGTACCCTGGGTGAGTCCAATGATCAGTCAGGTTTGGAGAAATTGGGAATCATTGAGACTTTACTCAGGGCCCATCCCTGTGAAATACAGATTACCACCATTATCTCTACAAAATGCTGCAAATTATCCATAAGGTGTTTTATATAACCGGAGTGTTTTGATGAGCAATAATATATGAAGATGGTATTATCTATTATTTGCAGTTTTCATTGTCCTGTAAAGAAAAAATATATACTTTCGATATCTTACAGAAGACTTGGGCTTCCCGTTCATGAACAGGCAACCTGATCTCATAATCTGTCCCAACACCCACTTTTGAAACCCAACCTATGTCCTTCCACAAGTATTTGTCTCTAAGAACATTACAGAGTGATTTCAATTTTATGAGGCCTCCTCAGAATTCTGATTTGTATTTCACCTCAATAATATGTCCAAAAAATTTTTTTTTAATTTTAGGCATATAAGGAAGTATAATTAAAAGAAGTATAGAATTAAAGAAGCATAAAACCCATGTATTCATCAACTAGTTTGATACAACTTTATAAATTAACACTCCCCCTTTGAATTTGGTGTTATCACTCAACAATACAGTTTTATACCTTTACTTCATACTTTATTTCTAAGCAACATAAATTATTCCATACAGCCTGAAAATATACATATCTTCCTAAAACTTGCTTAAAGACATCATCATGTCTTAGATATTTTAGACAGGAACATGTTTTTGAGATGTATACATGATTATCATGTAGCTCCACTTCATTTTCACTACTGCTTATTTTACAATATGAATATATCAAAATTTATTTATTTTCCTCCATTAGTGGATATTTGGGCTCTTCTCAATTTTTCACTCTTTTAAAATATACCACAATGAATGATATCATAAACATTTCCTTATGGAAACATGCTTACATTTCTGACCAAAGATTTTTAACTTCCCAATAGTCCTCCAACAAGTCAGCTAAAGGGCAAACTTCACATTTACCCAAACAGAACTGACAGTTTACCTGAGCTGATCAAAGGTAAGGAGAAATTATTTTGACATCCAAGAAAAACTGCTTCTCAACACTTTGAAAGTACACTGGATTTTGCCCTTTTCAACTATAATTTGATCATATCAGACCAAACAAGTAAAATTCAGCCACGTCAGCTATGTCAATAACTTTCACAACTGGCAAATAACCAACTTCTAACTGGATTTAAACTAATTCTTAAGAAAACAGAAAAGGATTAACCATAATATGAATAATGATACTATCTATCTCCAGATTTTTCCCATGTGCTATCATTCAGCTGATGGTTCTTTCTCTAAATAACTTTAATGAGATACTGATTAATTATTTATACACTTGTGTCTGGAGAAATGGTCAGCAGAAAAGTAATTATCAACAACTCTGTTAGACTCTACCAAATCCAGCTAGATGTTTTTCAGATCTGACTGAGGTGGTCACTTCAAGCAATGTCATTTAGGATTTTTAAAATTACCTTACAAAAGCCCTTTTTAATTGTACTAAAGTCAGGCAAAACATAGTCTATCATTACTGTATTTTCTTCTCCTTTCAACCTGGAAAATAAAATAGAGACTTGTGAAATAATTAACTATGTATAGCATTACCCAAGAATCAACTTTCTAATTCTTAGATTACTATTATACATACTTTGCAATATCCATATCTCTATAAAAATCCTGAGACACATAGCACACATCTTCTTTCACTTGATTAATCACATGTGTTTCATCCATAACATGTAGCTGCCTAAACAGAAATAAAAACTGTAAAATGTGAAATGGAAAAATGTAAGTATAATTTACAATTACTTAAAATATTTTTTCTGGAGTTAAATCTTTGGGTAACTGATTTTTTAAAATATTAAATTTTTGAATGTGTAAAATATTTTCAACTTTATAGAATAATCACACTTCCACTATATTTAATCTCCACATTATCCCTCTGAGGGCAAATATTAATCCAGTTTGCAGAAAGAAATGAAAACAAAGGCTTTAAATAAGGTAACATTTATCAGAGAGCAAACTTTTTCCTCCTCCAACCATTCTGAATAGAATCTTGCTAAAATGACTTAACTCTTTGCACTTTCTTTTCTGATCATAGTAGTGAGTTAGCACACAGTACCTGACACATATTAGATGTTTAATAAATATCTGATGAGTGAACCCAAGAAACACAGGGTTAATAAGCAAAACAAAGATGCTTTTAAAAACTGTAGACAACACAAACAAATGGAAAGATATTCCATGCTCATGGCTTAGAACAATTAATGTTATTAAAATGTCCATACTACCCAAAGCAATCTACAGATTCAATGTAATCCCTATCAAAATGCCAATAGTATTTTTCAGAGAAGTAGGACAAATAATCCTAAAATTCATATGGAACAACAAAAAACTCTGAATAGCCAAAGCAATCTTGAAAAAGAACAAAGCTGAACAATGCCCACAATAGCCAAACTATGGAAAGAGCCAAGATGTCCATCGATAGATGAATGGATAAAGAAGATGTGGTGTGTATATATATAATGGAATATTATGCAGGCATCAAAAGGAATGAAATCTTGCCATTTGCAATGACATGGATGGAACTGGAGGATATTATGCTGAGTGAAATAAGTCAATCAGAGAAAGACATGTATCATATGATTTCACTGATATGAGGAATTCTTAATCCCAGGAAACTGAAGGTTGCTGGAGTGGTGGGGGGTGGGAGGGATGGGGTGGCTGGGTGATAGACATTGGGGAGGGTATGTGCTATGGTGAGTGCTGTGAATTGTGTAAGACTGTTGAAATCACAGACCTGTACCTCTGAAACAAGTAATACATTATATGTTAAAAAAATAAAGAAGAAGATAGTAGGAAGGGAAATATGAAGGGGGTGATATCGGAGGGGGAGACAAACCGTGAGAGACAATGGACTCTGAGAAACAAACTGAGAGTTCTAGAGGGGAGGGGGGTGGGGGGATGGGTTAGCCTGGTGATGGGTATTAAAGAGGGCACATACTGAATGGAGCACTGGGTGTTATACGCAAACAATGAATCATGGAACACTACAACAAAAACTAATGATGTAATGTATGGTGATTAACATAACATAATAAAATTAAATTAAAAAAAAAGAACAAAGCTGGAGGTATCATAATTCCAGATTTCAAGATATACTACAAAGCTATAGTAATCAAAACAGTATGGTACTGGCAGAAAAACAGACATATAGATCAATGGAACAACACAGAGCCCAGAAATAAACCCATGCTTATATTAATCTACAGTAAAGGAGGCAAGAATATATAACAGGGAAAAGATAGTCTCTTCAATAAACGGTGCTGGGAAAACTCACTCCATATACAAAAACAAACTCAAAATGGATTAAAGACCTAAATGTGAGATCTGAAACCATAAAACTCCTTAAAGAAAACATAGGCAGTAATCTTTTGGACATCGGCTTTAGCAACGTTTTTCTAAATATGTCTCCCCACACAAAGGAAATGAAAGCGAAAATAAACTATTGGGAGTAAACTGAAATAAAAGTCTTTCACATAGTGAAGGAAACCATTAACAAAATGAAAAGACAACCTACTGAATGGGAGAAGATATTTACAAATGATTTATCTGAAATATTTATCTGATAAGGGGTTAATCTCCAAAATACATAAATTTTAGAACACAATACCAAAAGAACAAATAATCTGATTAAAATGGGCAGAGGACCTGAATAGACATTTTACCAAAGACAACATACAGATGGCCAGCAGACACCTGAAAAGATGCTCAATGCATCTTCTCAATGCAAATCAAAACAATGAGATATCACCTCACACCTGTCAGAATGGCTGGTATCAAAAAAATAAGAAATTATAAGTGTTGGTAACAACATAGAAAAAGAGAAACTCATGTGCTGTTGGTGACAACACAAACTGGTGTAACCACCGTGGAAAACAGTATGGAGGTTCCTCAAAAAATTAAAACTAGAACTACCATATGATCCAGTAATTCCACTACTGGGTATTTACCCAAAGAAAACAAAAACACTAATTTGAAAAAATATATGCACCCCTGTTTACTGCAGCATTATTTAAAATACTCAAAATATGGAAACAACTCAAGTGTCCAATGATAGGTAAATGAATAAAGAAAATGTGGTATGTACACACACACACACACACACACAATGGAATATTAAGCAGCCATAAAAAAGAATGAGATCTTGCCATTTGTGACAACATGGATGAACCTAGAAGGCTTTATACAAAATGAAGTAAGTCAGAGAAAGACAAATACCATAGGATTTCACTTATATATGGAATCTAAAGAACAAAACGAAGCAAAAACAGACCCATACATACAGAACACTGGTGATTGCCAGAGGAGAGAGGGTAGGGGGATGGGCAAAATAGGTGAAGCGGAGTGGGAGGTATAGGCTTCTAGTTACAGAACGAGTAAGTCACAAGGATGAAAGGTAGAGCATAGAGAATATAGTCAATGTACTGTAATAGCATTTTTTGGTGACAGATGGTAGTTACATTTATAGTAGGCACAGCATAAAGTATAGAGTAGTCAAATTACTATGTTGTACACCTGAAACTAACCTAACATTGTATCAACTATACTTCAATAAAAAACATACAAAAAAAGATATAACAAAAATGTGAAGTTATTCCCTCTGAATATTTATTTCTACACATATATACTACATATACTTATTTAGACTCAATATCATCTCACATTTTCTTATGCTACCGTTCTTTAAAAATACGGTTATTTACTGCCCCATAATATTTATTAGAGGATCTATTAAAATGTATTTATTAATGTTCCTAGTGTTGGAAGTTTAGATCAGGGAGGAAAGATACTTGTGTGTTTATAAATGTGGACTTTGGTTTTGTTGTTTTTTGGTTTTTTTAGGTGGGCTCTATGCCCAACATGGGGCTTGAACTCATGAGCCTGAGATCAAGAGTCACATGTTCTACCGACTGAGCCAGCCAGGTGCCCCAGAGACTTTGGCTGAATCACAACCTAGCAACCAAGTTACTTTACCTCTTTGGGACTCAATCTCTTCAACTCTAAAACGGTAATAATAATAAGATCACCGACTTAACACATCTGTAAGAAGTAAATGATTCTAATTACACATGTAAAGTGTTTAGCATAGTCCTTATACTAAGTAAAAAACATTCTTATTACTTCCTTTTGCTTTTTGTTATCTTCATATACGCCATATTCTACCGCAAGATTCACTATTGCACCAAAGAGAAGAAAAGATGATAATTTAACTATGACAATTCTAAGGTACCAACAATTGGAAGATCCATCCCAACTAGAGATGTGAGAAAACTCAAAATTGATGCAATACAGGTATTTTTATCTGTATCTCAGACTATCTCATTATTTATTCATACTCTAGGACACAGAATTTGAAATACTGTTAGTATCTTAGTGTATTGCCAAACTGTTTACCAGAAAAGTTATTTCAAGTTATGCTCTAATCAGCAGCCAGCATCACAATCTGCAACATTATCTTTTTTTGCAACATCATCTTTTGAAAAAAATTCTATTAATTTGGATTGTAAAAGTTGTGGTATTTTAATTTGCATTTTTCTACTAGGAAGTGCCATGAAAAAAGAGAAATTCTTATTTGTTAACTCGTATATCCCAACCTCCTAAATAAATGCTTAATATTTTAACTGAATTTGTAATTAGTACAGATGTTTAACATTTTTTATGTCTGAGAATTATCCATTTATATCCTTTGACTGTATGTAATTCTAATGATTATCTATCTGTGCCACTGGCCATTTGTTTTCTGAGAATCATCCAGTAGCCACTGTATACCAAGGTAGTGCTTTTCTTGAGGATTGATAAGAGCCCTTAATATATTAAAGATTAACAACCCGGTGTCATATTTGTTTCAAACTTATTTCTCAGGTTTATATTACTTTTGTTCACGAATGCTTGAAATCAGTGGTTTTCCAGACTAGAAGAGGACAAAGAGGGATTGGAGTGCTGGTAATATTCTGCCTGAGCTGTGTTCTGGTTACTTGGGTGTATTCAGTTTTTAAAAATTCACTGAGTTGTACATTCAAGGTTTGTAAATTTTTCTGTATGTTTTACCTCAATAAAAAGTTTACTTTTTTCTTTTTTTTAATTTTATTATGTCATGTTAGTCATGATATGGTACATCATTAGTTTGGTTTTTTTTAAAGATTTTATTTATTTATTTGACAGAGAGAGACACAGCAAAAGAGGGAACACAAGCAGAGGGAGTGGGAGAGGGAGAAGCAGGCTTTCCGCAGAGCAGGGAGCCCAATGCGGGGCTCGATCCCAGGACCCTGGGATCATGACCTGAGTGGCTCAGTCATTGGACATCATTAGTTTTTGATGCAGTGTTCCATGATTCATTGTTTGCGTATAACACCCAGTGCTCCATCACCAGGCTAAAAGTTGTATGTGGGGCGCACCGGGGTGCCTTGGTTGAGCGTGTGACTCTTGGTTTCTGCTTGGGTCATGATCTCAGGGTCATGAGATCGAGCCTCGCATTGGGCTCTGTGCTCAGCACCGAGTCTGCTCGATTCTCTGCCTCTCCTCCTTCTGCCCCTCCCCACCGCTCCCACTCTCTCTCTCTCTCAAATAATAAATAAAATATTTTTTTAAAGTTTTTTTTTTATTTGAGAGAGAGAGAATGAGCAGAGGGGAGAGGCAGAGAGAGAGGGAGAAGCAGGCTCCCTCTATCCTAGGGTCCCGGGATCATGACCTGAGCCAAAGGCAGATGCTTAAACAACTGAGCCACCCAGGCACCCCTAAATAAATAAAATCTTTAAAAAAAAAAGATGTAGGAAAATTATATCCTTTATTATTGCTTCTACTATTTTTATTCTTAACAACTCAGTTAAATATTTTCTTGTTGTGGTTTTATTTTTATATTTAAGTCTTAAACCCATTTGGACTTTAGTGTATGAGGCAAAGGAAAATTTTTCTCCAAATAACCAACTTTCCCTGTACCCTTTCCTGAATAATCAATATTTATATATATATATTTTACAATGTTTGATTCAGAATTAACTATTCAGTCTGTCTGATCTATCATTTAATTCTCATCTAAGTATCACTTTAATTATTACAATTTTAAAATGCTTTATCATCCACTAGAGAAAGTCTCCTTTCACTATTATTCTTTTCCATAACTATTTTTTTATTTTATTTTTTTATTTTTTATTTTTTTTTAAGATTTTATTTATTTATTTGACAGAGAGAGACAAAGTGAGAGAAGGAACACAAGCAGGGGGAGTGAGAGAGGGAGAAGCAGGCTTCCCGTGGAGCAGGGAGCCTGATGCGGGGCTCGATCCCAGGAACCTGGGATCATGACCTGAGCCGAAGGCAGACGCTTAACGACTGAGCCCAGGCACCCTATAACTATTTTTTTTAACTTTTTATTTTTATTCTTTAAGATTTTTTTTTTTAATTTTTTTTTATTTGCGAGAGAGAGAATGAGAGACAGAGAGCATGAGAGGGAGGAGGGTCAGAGGGAGAAGCAGACTCCCTGCTGAGCAGGGAGACCGATGTGGGACTTGATCCCGGAACTCCAGGATCATGACCTGAGCCGAAGGCAGTCGCTTAACCAACTGAGCCACCCAGGTGCCCTTATTTTTATTCTTTTAGAGAGAGAGAGTGTGAGTGTGTGAGCGGTGGGGGGCGGGGGGGGGGGAGGGCAAAGGGAGAGGGAGACAGAGAATCTTAAGCAGTCTTTATGCTCAGCGCAGAGCCCGCCACAGGGCTCTACACAGGGCTTGATCTCAAGACCCTGAGATCATGACCTAAGCCAAAATCAAGAGTCAGACAGACACACTTAACCGACCTTGCCACCCAGGCGCCCCTCCCAAAACTATTTCTAAGTATTCTTGCCAGGTTGTTCTTTTCAAGTTCAACTTCAACACCTACCCTTTTTAATATACATGAATTTTTTTCAGTCAGCATGGAAGAATGAATGACTTAGTGCACAGGCTCTAGACTCAGACTGCCTGGGTTTTGGTTAACATTCTCATCTGTCTCAACTTTCTCTGCCTTTCAAATTTGCTGCTTCTAATCTGATGGGGATACAGGAACTAAATATCTAAACCTTTTAAAACCTAGCCCAATTCTGTTTGATTCTACAATGAATAACATTCATATAACCTTAACACTGTATATGCCATTTATGAGACTTCCATTTTTAGAATTAATGTATAAGCAAGGCAAGACTTAACTACAGTAAAAAATCATATGCAAATGTTATCTCAATAATTAAGAAGAAATGGTATAGCATTATGTTTAATGAAAAAAGTCACTGTCTAAAGCTTACATATGATAGGATTCTGTTTCTAGAAATAACAAAACTATAGAAGTAGAAAACAAATTAGAGATTGCTAGGGGAGAGGGACGTGGTGGGGAAGCAAATATAAAGGGGTAGCACAAAGGAGTTCCTTTGGAGTGATGGAATAGTTCTACATCTTAACTGTGGTGGTGTTTACATGAATCTATACATGGGATAAAGCTGCATAGAAATACACACAAGTGCATGTAAAAAATGGTGAAAACTGGAAACAATTATACTAGCATCAATTTTATCATTTTGATACTGTATTAGTTATATAACATGTTACTCAGGTTACACAAGGCTCTATGTACTATTCTACAACTTCCTGAGTCTGTAATTATTTCAAAATAAAAAGTTTTTTACAATGTGCTAAAGCTGGGTAGGAAGGATAAGGGGAGTGGGTCTCTCTTGGGGGTAATGAAAATGTTCTAATACACTAAAACCCATTGAAAATGTACACTTTAAATGCGTGAATTTGTGGATATGTATTATATCTCAATAGAGCTGTTCAAAAAATAATGGTACATCTGACAGAAGAAAGAAGGAAAACATGGAAGGAAAGGCAGAAGGAAATGCAGATTCACTTATTTTCTCACATGACATAGAGGGGAGCTAAGAGATACTGACGGGGTCATACCAGCCAAAGTTAATGTAGTGAAAAATTGAGATTTAAGAATTCTACTTATAAAACAAAAAATCTCACTTAAGTTTTTAAACAAAATTAAAATAATAGCATAAACAAAATTTAGGAAAGGGAGAAGAGTTGGGATGTGGCTAAGTACACTAATTCCTCATCTTTTAATGATGGATAGTCAACTAATATTGGTTAATTCACAAACAGAAATATCAATATTATTAAGGCTCATAGAGACTAAAAATATAATAGATAAATACAGTGTAAAGACCATACTTTGTGTGGAATGGAATTGACATGAGAGACAGAAAGGGGAGGTAGAGATTTATTTTCCTTTGAAACCCTGATTTCCTTAAATGCATTTTTAATTTGTTTTATAATGTATAATATTTATAACTTCTATAATTTTAAGATATTAAACATATTAAACTCCCTAGAATTCGGAAATATCCAAATTTTGGTGGACACTAGCATTTTATATGCTAGAAAGCTTTTGTTTTTTGTTTTTTTCTTTTTTTAATGAGCTCTACACCTACTGCGGCTTGGACTCACAACCCACAAATCAAGAGCTGCATGCTCCACTGACTGAGCCAGCCAGGCACCCAACTAGAAAGCTTTTCAATTTGAACTTTATTTGCATTTATATATGTGATGTGGTTTTTAAAGCAATAATATAGAATTGTTGCCTGAAGTTACAACTAATGGTTAAAGAATAATTGTAATTACTAAAAAGTTCATCAACAGCAGTCAACCCAAACCCTGCCCCCCCACCCGCAAATCAAAGCTATGTATTACCTGTAAGAGATGATCTCCTTTAGATGATTGGTTAGGAGTTTTCCTCCCACATTTATCCTAAAAAGGGAGAATTCAAATTTGGTTCAGTTTATCATATCTTTCATTCGGTTTTAACCTAAGAAAAACATGAGAATTGAATACAACTCACCGAATAATTGCTTCTTTTTTCTTTTTACTTCTACAGTAAGGAACTATATGTGTAAAGGAATATCCACTATCTACAATGATACAGCATAATTCAGAAGGATTATCTCGAAAATACCTATGTGCACTGAGAGCACCAGCTATTTAGAAAAAGATAAAAAAAAAAACTGCATTAAATAAAAGTGTACTTAATTTAAAGCAATAAAGAATGGCAACAAATTAAGGCAAGCACAAAGACAAAAACTTTCCTTTATTTCTATAGGCTAATTTAAAATAATATTCATAATTGTCACAAACTCTCTGGAGCATTTAAACTAAAACATCACATTTTTGTGGTAAATGTGATTTTAAAAATTTTGTGATCAATTTTTAAAGGTAAATATTCATGACTTAATTATTTTAACACTATAACTTAATTATGAGCATTTATTACATGCTGGGCACTATGCTAAAAACTCCACGAGTATTTGTGTTTTAATCTTCACAACAATTCCATTTTATGGATGAAGAAACTGAAGCACAGAGAAGTTAAATAATATACCCAATGTCATACGATTAGAAAGCAACAGAGCCAAGATTCAAACCTGGGCAGTGTGATTCTGGAGCCAGGCTTCTCAACCTCAAAACTACTGACATTTTGCGCCAGGTAATTCTTTGTTGCTGGAGGTTTTCCTGTTCATTTTAAGATGTTTTGTAGCATCTGTCTTCTACCCACTAGATGCCAATAGCACCCTCCCAGTTGTGACAACAAAAAATGTCTCCAGACATTGCCAATGTCCCCAAGGAGCAAAATCACCCTTGAAGAACACTGTTCTGGAGACTGTGCTCTTAACCATTGTAGTATAATATCACTCATATGGACTTAAATTATGCATGCTAAATATTTGAATACTTTCATTGTACAGTCATGTAATGTAGTTCTAGTCTTTTATAGACTTACTTCTGGATGATATTTTCAGATTGTTTTTCCACATAGTGGCAGGCTGAGCTATGAACATTATTTCAATCAATGATAATAATAATGATAGCAAACACATCAGTGGCAGAAAAGGTAACTACCTCAGAAACAATAATCTTTTAGAAATTAAAAATATGTGGCTAGTGGGGCATCTAGCTGGTTCAGTTGGTACAGCATGTGACTCTTGATCTCAGGGCTGTAAGTTTGAGCCCCACATAGAGATCACTTAAAAAAATATATATGTGGCTAGTAACTGCATTAGGGAGAAAATACTGTACTAGTATTAAGACGAAGAAAAGTCTGATTAGATAATCTCTAAGAGTCCATCTAATTTTTAAATTCCATGTTTTATTTTCTTCAAATCTAAAAGAATGTCACCCAATATTCTTGAATTTTAAGTGTTTCTCTTTACCCTATTCATATCCATATTCCCATTAATTAACTGCAATCAAAACTTTAACTCACCATTTACTCTTAAGACTGCTTGGAACTGATATTCTTCAAATAGGATTTCATTCATTGATTCTTGAATTGAAGTGAAGTTAAAGTATGGTTCTGTAATAATAATATTGGTATCTAAAAAATCAACCTATGAGAGAAAAAAATCCCACAAGTTTTATCATTTTGTAGTTGTAAAACACTTGTTTTACATATATGAACAAACTTATTAAATCCTCACAATAATCCTAGAAGACAAGTCTTATTACTAACCCCATTTAATTGGCAAACTGAGGTACAAAAGAGTTGAGTAAGTTACCACAGTTCATGTAACTAGTTAGGGTCATAGCTAGGATTTGAACCCAGAAGTCTGATTACAGAATTCATCACTTTATTATTTAATTTTAAGTCTCTTAATGATAGCATTAATAAAATGGTACTATCAGATTGTTTGAAGATCAGTATGCAAACGTAATGAACAATATAACTTCAAGCATTAGATGTTTTGTTTTCAAAGTTAAAAGGCCAGAAGCTTTAGCGTATTTAATGTTTACATAATTCTCTCCCACACTCTTAAGCAGCATTAAAAACTGAATATTCATTCACTATACCTAAAGTTATACTACAGACATTAAAAGCACAAAATTTTCACATAATATTCACAATTCAGCTATGTGGACAAAAATATTTTATTGTGAAAATAAAAACGAGATAGTGAATTGGTCTAATAGTAGACGTGAATAATCTTGAGTTTCACACAAACTCTCTTAACCTCAAATTCCACTTCTATTCATTTATACTTATTTAATATTTAAAAAAATCAAAACTAAGAACAGTATATTAGTGACTTAAATGTATACTAGAAACATATTCAAAAGTTAAAGCTAGACACCTCAATTACCTTCAACCCCAATCCCAGACTTACTCTCTGGAATCTGCCCTTGGCCTTTCCTCTCTCCTGATACTGCCTTATCTCTCACATGAAGTAATGCCACTGCCTTCTCAATGCCCTTTCTGCCTCCGTTCTCTTCTCATTCTGTCTTCTGTACTGCTAGCATAATTATCAGCAAGTATTTTTCTAAGTCAGAAATCTGATCATCCTCCCCAAACGTATCTCTCACCACAGAAGTCTTCCCTTCCATGACTTGACATTGCCTATGAAACAATGTCCATACATTTGCAATCTCATCCCCCCCTTCAACCCACCTTACAGTGTGTGCTGGTAAATGTTCAACAACCGGATCTCCGGGTGGGGGGAAAGCTCTGATTTGTAGGGCTTACCACTTTCTGTGTTATAAATACTGTCACAATTGCTGATTTCCAGCTATCCTGAAGTCAACAAACTCTGAACACAGAGTTGGGAAGAAACGCATGTAATTGGTTCTCATCAGCCAGTGTGAGCCAACTTTCAGCACAAGACTATTCAGTAGAAATTCTGAGTCTATTCACTTTCATACCATGCACTCTTCCCTACCAGATTTTAGCACAAGTAATCTCAAGCATGTACTACTTTTCATATATATGTATATTTTGGCAGTATATATAATTTTTAAAAGTTAAAAATATGACTGATATAAATACACAGTGAACATGTGCAACAGATTTATTTAAGTCATATTAAGGCATAAACTAGCTTTATATCCTATCCTGTTGGTTCTTGCATTAACATGAGTTACTAATTCTTATTGCTGTAACTTTTCATTTGAATAAGACATGGAAATAGAAATTTGAATACATACTCCAATTTGTTACCTGATACATTTCTTTTCCAAAAAGGTAATCCCAAACTTGTCTTTGAACATCCCAATTCACCAAGTAGCCCTAAAAAAATTCTTGTATAAATTATCACAAATATTTGAATAGTTTTTAAAAATCATATTAACAGAGTCTAAACCACTAATTTCTCTTTATGGTTATGTTCACTACTCAAACATTGTTTAAGGAGATGCCACTCCACACTTACTTTTTTTTTTAATGTGTTCATCTCATTTAGCTTTAACATAAAGAAGTAAAATTCAGTACCCACAATCAGTAACTAAGTCATGGTCATTTATTGCTAAGAAGACAACTTAATTTCAGTTTTTGGTTTTAATAAGATCTTATTTAAAATTTAAATAACTTTTTCTCAGAGATCTAAAAATATTTCCATACATACAAAATTCTAATTATACATTTAAAAACTGTCTTTACATTTAGGTCTACATTGCTAGAAATGACATATAACTGAATTACCTTCTGAAAAGGAAGAATGTAAAAGAGTCCAGAAGGGTCCTTTATTTCATCTATCTGGTTAGCAGTAAAAGTTTTAAGACGTGCTGTTTTTGACCTGAACTGACAGTTAGGAATTACCCTATAAACAAAGAAATAATATAATTATTCCCTAAATACTCACTTCCAAAAAATACAATTACTTAACCACCCCCCTCCATGACAAAAAATATCCACAACCAGTGTTTCCCATTTTGTCTTCGAATAATTAAAAAATGTCTTTTTTTTTTTTTTTTTTTTAAGTTCTAATATGCACTAGACTCTACACTGGACCCTTTATCTTTCTCAAGTAATCCTTAAGAAATCCTTCCAGGTGGGTATTGATCCTGCTATCACACAGATGACAGTCAGAGCTTAGGTAAAGTTCCTGGTCTTTCTGGCTTTAATGTGGAATTTTTTTTTTTTTTAAGATTTATTATTTATTTGAGAGAGAGAGGGCAAGCACACAGAGGGAGAGGGAGAAGCAGACTCTGCGCCCAGCAGGGAGCCCTGTGGGACTTGATCCCAGGACCCCAGGATCATGACCTGAGCTGAAGGCAGATGCTTAACTGACTGAGCCACCCAGACACCCCTCTAATGTGGAAATCTTAATACCACTCTGGTAAAAGATTTACAGGTTCAAAATTCTTGCCATTAAAACTAAGTCTCTAGGATGCCAAAGATTTCCAATTAGCAGATACTACAGGCTACAGAAGTAGTAGTTTTAAATATGGTTGCTGCCCACCATAGGCTTACAATCTGGTTAGGAAGACAAACTAGAGTCATCATCAACCGTACATGTGTACGTGTGTGGAGGGAAGGCGGGGGAGAGGGAGGAGGGAGGGAGGGAGGGAGAGAGAGAGAGAGGAGAGAGAAAGGGAAAGGATACTGGGATAACGTAAAAATGTTTTGTATCTGCTTATTTCATTTACTATGCTGTCATTTTCTCTATATGTTTAAATATTCTTTGAGGACATGATTTTTTCTTTAAAGATATATTTTAGAGAGAGAGAGAGTGAGAGAGTGCAAGGGCGAGGAGGGGTTGGGGCAAAGGGAAAAGAGAGAATCTCAAGCCAACTCCCCTCTGAGTGCCGACCCCAACCGGGCTCAATCCCAGACTCTGACATCATGACCTGAACCGAAATCAGGAGTCTGATGCTCAATGCACTGAGCCATCCGGCGACAGGGGGACGTGATTTTTAAAAACTGCACTGTAGTCAATCTTATGGTTATATTATAATTTTAGTCAAATTTCTATTGATTATTCAGCTTGCATTCATTTTTTTTTTTTTTACCATACACAATGCCTATAATATAGAGCATCCTGTATTTACTCTTATCAAACACTTCTAACTTATTCCTTAGGTGACTGATAACAGAATTACTGTGTCAAAGGATAAAAACAATGATACACCTTGCCAAAACATTTTCCAGAAGACTAACAATTTACATTCCTACGCGGGTTGATTGTCCTCTTTAAAAAAGAAAAAAAGGAAAGGAGGAAGGGGGGAATCCTCTGTAAACATTACAGAAGAAAAGCATCTTTTCTTCTCTCTCTATACATATATAACATATATATTTAATGAATGCCATTGCAGTAATTCTGTTAAATCAACTCTATCAACCGGGTCAGCCAATGAGCACTACGAAGGGCTTAGACACGAAGCCTTCAACGTCTCCAATCAGTAAGAACTGTTTTTAACTTTTTGGGGGTCACAGAACCCATTGAGGATATGATGAAAGCCCTAACTGCGCCCTCAAGAATATGTATATACACATAAATGTCCACGATTCCTGAGGGTTCATCAACTCTGTACGCAACCCTCCATCAGGAACCGCTTCTCTAGAAGCCTATTTTCCTGAGCTATTTCCTGTTACGAAAGGAAACGTGTGTCCCACTTCCGGCGCCGCGTAGCCTAAATTAACACCAAAGTACCAGTTCAAAGCATTACAGTCGGCCAGCTCCAACCCAAGCATCCCTCTGGCGCAGGTTAGGGCCAAATAGAGACATTTGCAGTTTACTGTGATCCTGAGATGAAGGGTAGTCTGTGAAACCGCTAGGCGTCTGTCTTGTCCTAAGGACCGAGAGAACACTTACGACACGTTTTCATGGCTGTAACCGATTTTGGCATTGTAGGCTCCGTTATCCAGCACTAAGGTCGTCATTTTAACGTGAACCAAACGGCCGGCCGCCGCCTTCTCCTCCTGACACTTCCGCTCCCGCTTTTTCCAGTACTCTATGGTTTGCGGGGCGGGGCGTAAGGGTGCTTCCGGTCTCCCTTAGCAACTGAGGACGCCGGAAGCCAGAGACCGCCCCCTCTGCCTGCGGGTCAGGGGGTTGGGCAGTTCTCAGTCTAAACGGTTTACGTCGGGGAGAGAGCCAACAAGAGTGGAAACAGCTCAGTGCTTTTTCGCCCACTGCATTGCGTATTTGTCCTCTACTTCGCATACTGACTCGCTTCTACAAGTTTCTTCTAATCTGGGCGCCTCGGTGGCTCAGTCGTTAAGCGTCTGCTTTCGGCTCAGGTCGTGGTCCCAGGGTCCTGGGATCGAGGCCCACATCGGGGTCCTGACTCCACAGGAAGCGTGCTTCTCCCTCTCCGGCTCCCCCTGCTTGTGTTCCCTCTCTGGCTGTGTCTCTCTCTGTCAAAAATAAAATCTTTAAGGGGCGCCTGGGTGGCTCAGTCAGTTAAGGGTCTGCCTTCGGCTCAGGTCATGGTCCCGCAGTCCTGGCATCAAGCCCCATGTCGGGCTCTCTGCTCAGCGGGGAGCCTGCTTCTCCCTCTCCTCCCCGCACCTGCTCTCTCTCTCTCTCTGGCTATCTCTGTCTCTCTCTCTCAAATAAATAAAATCTTTAAAAAAAAAGTTTCTTCTAATCTCCGTGGTGAACCTATAGCTTTGTGCCTGTGTGTGTGTGTGTGTGTGTGTTTTCGAGTAGTATTGTTCAGTGACATTTCCCAAGGAATAAAGTGCAAAACCATAAACAGCATGGAATTGGACATGAAGTCTCTTCAGCCTCATTCCCGCCAATGCCCATTCGACTGTAGGGTTCAGCCACCCTTAAATTACAAACATGCTGTTCCGTCAACTGCCTTGCTTTTCTACTCATTCATATTCTTCCTCTGCCTACTTGTTCTTCATAACACTGCTCCATCATTCCTATCTAAAAAGGTTTCTTGCCATCTCACACTACTTTGTTCTCACTCTTAAAATTAGGTGCTGCTATGTGTTCTTGTAATGCCCCGGGTTAACTCCTATATATAATAATGGATAAGAAAATGAATTTTTTATCAGAATCCAGACTCCACCACAAATTGGCTGTGTAACCTTGCGAGATGAAGATGGTAATGGTTAACACAAAGTGCTTAATACCTGCGAGTAAACTTTCTAAGACGTTTATACATATATTAAGTAACTTAATCTTTAAATTTATGGACTAGTATTGAAATCAAAGAGAGAGTGACTAATAGTGCAGTCATTGCATTCAAACTCCTGGGCCAAATGCTGGCTCTTACTAGATGCTGTGGCCAGGCTAGTTAATCTCTCTATGCCTTAGTTTCCTCATCTGTAAAATAGAGTAATATTAATAACACTCCCTTGCAGAATTGTTTTATGAATAGCAAATGACAAAAGTGAAGTCCCTGGTAGTAGTAATCATCATCATCATTGTCATCTTGTTGTCATATAATCATTCTCTTTTTTTAAAGATTTTATTTAAGTAATCTTTACACCCAAGGTGAGGCTGGAACTCACAACCCCTAGATCGAGAGTTGCACGTTCCACCAACTGAGCCAGCCAGGTGCCCACATATAATCAGTCTCTTAACATGCACAGATGGCAAACTCCTTGAAGTCAAGCACTCTATTCCATTGGTGTCTATCCTTTGTATTAAAAAGTCATTGAATGTCCAAAGTTAATTATGTTCAGTTTTAGTCATTGTATTTTCTCTAATTTATTTTTAAATTGATAAGATCTCTTACTACGAACATGTAAAGAGTGTTTTATAAAACTTACGTCATAGAGCTGCCATCATTTCTGTCCAGCTCTCGTCTTTTAAAATATGTTCTTTCCTTCTGGTTATCAGCCCTTTCTCCTTTAAGCTTCTCTTTTTGCTTTCCTCAACATTTACATGCTCCTTGATCAAGATCATTTTTGTTGTTGGTTTCAGCTGCCATTAAATAATGACAAATCCTAAAGCAGAATTTCCACCCCCAACTGTAACCTGAATGTTTCTATGCAGGTATCCTAAGATAACTTTAATAGCAACAAATCCAAAACTGAATTTTTTCTCCAAAACAGTTTGTTCCACCTAATTACTTATCTATATTAATGGTGTGTTCCAAACCCCAAGCTAAATACCTCAATTACCTTCAACCCCAATCCCAGACTTACTCTCTGGGATCTGCCCTTGGCCTTTCCTCTCTCCTGATACTGCCTTATCTCTCACATGAGATAATGCCACTGCCTTCTCAATGCCCTTTCTGCCTCCGTTCTCTTCTCATTCTGATCCGTCTTCTGTACTGCTAGCATAATTATCAGCAAGTATTTTTCTAAATCAGATAAAATGTCCATATATTTGCAATCTTATATCTTACAGTGTGTGCTGGTAAATGTTCAACAACCAGATCTCCGGGTGGGGGGAAAGCTCTGATTTGTAGGGCTTACCACTTTCTGTGTTATAAATACTGTCACAATTGCTGATTTCCAGCTATCCTGAAGTCACCAAATTCTGAACAGAGTTGGGAAGAGATACATGTGATTGGTTCTCATGAGCCAGTATGAGCCAACTTTCAGCACAAGACTATTCAGTAAAAATTCTGAGTCTATTCGCCTTCACACCATGCACTCTTCCCTGCCAGATTTTAGCACAAGTAATCTCAAGCATGTGTTACTTTTATTAAAATACAATTCAATTGAGTAAATTTGAAGATTTAATTGGCTTTCCTAAAAAATTTTTTTGGCTTTCTTGAAAGATTCATGAACCAGGCAATATCTAATCTAGCAACTAGAGGGGAACTCCTAGGAGAGGAGTTGTACAAAAATGGAAGTTTTTTTTTTTTTTAAACATTATTTATTTATTTAACAGAGAGGGAGAGAGAGAGAGAGAGCACAAGCAGGGGGGAGTGGCAGGCAGAGGGAGAAGCAGGCTCCCCACTCAGCAGGGAGCCCAATGTGGGGCTCAATCCCAGGACCCTGGGATCATGACCTGAGCCAAAGGCAGCCCCTTAACCAACTGAGCCACCCAGGCATCCCAAAAATGGAAGGTTTTTATAGGAAGAACGGTGGCGCAAGAAGTTATTAGCAAAGGAAAAGAGAGGATTGTTTCAGGAAAGCTCAAGTTCCCTGAAGGCGAAGGGCATGGGGTCTTATTTGGTGGATTACCTCATGTTCCTTTTGGGGGAATGGAGAGGGCCCTTATGATAGGTTACCTCACTGGTGCTGGTCAGAAAACTCCTGACCAACCAGTTAAGACTGTATTTCTGAGGGAGGTTGAAACTTTAATTAGGTTAGTTATTAAGTATCGGTTTTGTGACATGGTCTAGCATAAAGGGCTTCATTTGGGGCTAATGGTTTTCTTTTTAACACTTTTCATATACATGTATATTTTGGCAATGTATAATTGTTATGTGAAACTGGGTTTGCCTTTTGGTGGATGTTCAGCCAAATGACACAATCAAGCCAAAAAATAGGAAAAGCAAACGTTTTACTTACAAGTGAAGGAGAACCCCAGGGCTCTTTCCCAAAGCACTGTCTCTGAATAACAAAATTGGTGAATTTGTAAGCTAAGGGTACATACATATCCATGAAGGGGCTTGTGCAATGGGGAATACTGCGTTGAATTGGAGCAAAAGTTATTTTAAGGTTATAAAAAGTTATTTTAAGATTTCCAGGTCAAAGTGGGAAGGGCAGTAAGGGTCAGCATCATCAATTCTCTGGCTCTAGTTGGTCTGGTGTCCAGGTGCTCAAAGGAGCTTAAATTGTGTAAAGATAAGTGTATGAATCAGGTCAATCTTCACTTTTTAATTTAATTTAATTTTTTAAATTTTTTTTGAAGATTTTATTTATTTATTTATTTGAGAGAAAGAGAGAGAGCATGTGTAGGCAGAGGGAGAGGGAGAGAATCTCAAGCAGACTCCCAGTTGAGCATGGAGACTGATGCAGGGCTCTATCTCACGGCCCTGAGACCATTATCTGAGCCAAAATCAAGAATCAGACACTTAATCAACTGAGCCATCCAGGCACCCCTGTTTTTGTTTTGCTTAAGATTTTATTTATTTATTTGAGAGAGAGTCAGTCTTCACTTTTGAATATGGTTAGGCTATCTCCTCACCTGAAGTGGCTATTTGTTCTCACACTCTTTCAGAAGATGGCTGGGAGCCTAAAATGACTTTCTTTCTTTCTTTCTTTCTTTCTTCTTTCTTTCTTTCTTTCTTTCTTTCTTTCTTTCTTTCTTTCTTTCTTTCTTTCTTTCTTTCAAGTAGGTGGAGGTCAGTGCAGGGCTTGAACTCAAGACCCTGAGACCAAGACCTGAGCTGAGATTACGAGTCAGATGCTTAACCAACTGAGCTAACCCAGGAGTCCCCTAAAATGACTTTTCTTATGTGAAGGAAGTGATGTCTTTTTCCATGGACCCTTATCTCATTCTGCTTATATAATTTTAAAAGAGTTAAAAATATGACTCTGCTATAAGTACATAATAAACATGTGTAACAGATTTATTTAAGTCATATTAATGAGTGAACTAGCTCTATATCCTATTTGTTGGCTTTTGCATTAATATGAATTGATAAATCTTTGGTGCACATTCATTATATACCTGTATGACAGTCATGTTTTTAACTTTTTGGAAATTATACTTTGGTAATTAAATAACAATTAAGAAAAATGTAAAGGGGTGCCTGGGTGGCTCAGTTGGTTAAGCAACTGACTTTGGCCCAGGTCATGATCTCAGGGTCCTGGGATTGAGCCCTGTGACAGGCTCCCTGCTCAGTGGGGAGTCTGCTCATCTCTTTCCCTTTGCCCCTCATGCTCTCTCTTTCAAATAAGTAAATAAAATCTTAAAAAAAAAGAAAATGTAAATTAATTTAAAACACTGATTTTACAGTGGTTTTGACATATGTTCCCTCAAACCAGGGAGAGGAAAATTGAAAATGTATTTTCTCAGTAAAAAGATATTGGTAAAACCAGTAAAAACTCAGTAAAAACCACAGGCTCAAGGTAGAGTCAGCATCACAGGAAACCAAGACTTAATTGCAGTTTCAACCTCTTTGGTGTGGAATTCTAAGCCAATGAGACTGGAATTTTCTGGTCTGCACCAATGAGGTAATCTATCACATGGTCCCTCCTCATCCCAGGCCTCCTCCCCTCACCCCCCAAGAAGATAAGGCAATAGGACTCTAGGCCTTTTCCCCTAAGGGAAGGTAACCTTGCCCCTTGCCTGAAATAATCTTTTCTTTCTCTTTCTTTTCTAGATAATAACTTCCTGTAAATTCCTTCCTACAAATACCTTCCATTTTATACAACTCTCTTGGGCGCTCCCCTCTTCTTGCTATGTGGGATGATCCCCAATTCATGAATTGCTTAATAAAGCCAATTAAATTCTCAGATTTGCTCAGTTGAGTTTTTTTTTTAAACTATACTACAACTATAATTATTAAGCTATGAGATTCTTTAATACTTACTACTTTGAAAAGGAATCCATGTTTTGTTCTAGCCACATTAGGCCCCTTGCCATTTATAAGCCATGAACTTTGAAAATTCCACTTGCCTGGAACATCCTCTTGTGGCTAGTAAATTAATAATACTAGCTTCCATGCTATTGTGTCTGGCACTCTCTTAAGTCTCTTAAATACTTACTTAACCTCCATTAGCTTGGTTAATCCTCACAACAACCATCGTGGAGGCTGAGACGTTCCATACTTTTCTTATGATCACATAGCTAAAAACCTGCAGAGCTGGGTGCCTGGGTGGCTCAGTTGGTTAAGCGACTGCCTTCGGCTCAGGTCATGATCCTGGAGTCCCTGGATCGAGTCCCGCATTGGGCTCCCTGCTCGGCAGGGAGCCTGCTTCTGCCTCTGACCCTCCCCCCTCTCATGTGCGCTCTCTCTCTCTCATTCTCTCTGTCTCAAATAAATAAATAAAATCTTTAAAAAAAAAACCAAAAACCTGCAGAGCTAGGTTTTATATCCAAATCTTGGACTTCAAGGTCAGTTCTACTAACACATTAAGCTGATTTAGTCTCATCTTTGAAATAACATCACTGTAAATCTGTCTTTGACTTAAGGTGGAATGAATCACTCCTTCCTTTGTGTTCTCATAACAATTTGCATAACAATTGTTATAATTATTATTATATAATAATAGTATTTATTGGGGCACCTGGGTGGCTCAGTCGTTAAGCGTCTGCCTTCGGCTCAGGTCATGATCTCAGGGTCCTGGGATCGAGCCCCGCATCGGGCTCCCTGCTCTACGGGAGGCCTGCTTCTCCCTCTCCCACTCCCCCTGCTTGTGTTCCCTCTCTCGCTGTGTCTCTTTCTGTCAAATAAATAAATAAAATCTTTAAAAAAAATAATAGCATTTATTAAGAGCACTTTGTTGAAAACTTTATATGCATAATCTCATTTAGACCTCACAAAGTTCTGAGTTAGAAACTATTAATATTATCTCCAATAGATGAGGTACTTGAGGCTGACAGATTAAATACCTTGCCCAAGTTTACATAGCTACAAAATGGCTGAGGTAGCATTTGACTGAGTCTAGTGACAAAGCTCAAGGTCTTAGCACTAAGAGTCTACTACTTTCCTTGCTAGGCTGCTAACTCTTTGATGACAGAACAAGGTTTTTTTTGTTTGTTTGTTTTTGTTTAGGCAACCCTAGATATTTGAATAGTGCCTAATTTATAGTGCATGAAGAACGTTAAGTGAGTAGTCAAAGCACTATCAACTTTCCGTTCTACAAAAAGAGCCAGGTTGTTGGACTATATGTGAACTACCTCCTCTCCCCCACCCATAACCACATTTCTTCCTGATACATCCCTCAGAGGGAGTGTAATTTCTTTTCCTCCTTTAGACATCATTGGGTGGTCATTTTCACCTCTGAAAATGTTGGTTTGGGGCTGGGTGAGGTGAAGGTTCAGAGCTGTAATAGTTCTATTTCAAGAATTTCCTTCCTTTTTATAGAAACTTTCAAGTGAAATTTTACATTCTTATTTTCTTAGATAAAACAACCTAGAGAAGGGAGTAAAGAATACATTATTAACCTATTTTATAGACGATTAAGGCTAAAACTAAGGACATTATTTTCTCCGGGTTAAAACAGCTAGAATACAAGACAGCCAGGACTTGAGTTTGGGACTTCTAATTCCCGGGTCCTGGACTCTTTTAAGACACGTTGTCAACTTCTAGTTCCCTCTAAGGGAACTAGTTTCTAGTTCTAAACTGGAATCACGAGAGAAAACATTAGATCATAGTATGGGGCGGCGGGGAGGGTGGGGGGCAGTATATCTTAGAAAACGAAAAGAAACTGAGGCAAGAATATGAAGAAAGCTAGGTAGACCAGGTAGAGAGCAAAGCAAGCAGGGCAGTTTGTGCCCCAAATTCTGAAAAATTAAAAGTAGGATGTGGACGGAGCACTCAGTGATGGAGACCGGAACAAGACCAGAGTGGAGAGGGAGGACTATAAAGCACGAGAAGGTTCTGGGATTGGGAATCAAAGCACCCAGTAGCATCAAGGCGGCGAAGGACACGCGTCCAGGCCCGGACAAGGGTGGCTGGGCAGCGCACTGCCCGCGCGGGTCGGAGCCTGCGTTGCCCCGCCCCACGCCGAGTCCGCCCCGCCCCGCCCCGCCCCGCCCCGCCCTCCCCCAGGTCTCTTAGGTGATGCTGCAGCCAAGATGGCGCCGGCGGCGGCCACGGCGGCCTGAGAGCGATGCTCGCGGTCTTCGGCACCAGCGGCGGCGGCTGTGGCCTCGGCCGGGGCCTCTGGTCTCTCCCGGGCGTGAGCGCTCAGGCGACTCTCCCCCGGCCGGGTTAGTCCGGACAACAAGGAAGCGGCCACGAAGAGAGGAGGCAGTGAGAAACGCGGAGAGAGCGCGACGCCTCCTGCCGCGGCACCATGGCTGGGCTCATCAAGAAACAGATCCTGAAGCACCTCTCCAGGTCAGCTAGAGCCTCGGGCGTGGGAGGCCAGTCCGCCCCCGCCCTAGGCGTCTCGGGAGGCTGCTCGCAGCCTCGGGGGCGGCGGGGACTGGGAGCCGTGCGGGAGGCGACTCTTGAGCTGCCAGGTCTGGCTGGGCCAGGGGGTCGCGGCCCCGGTCTCCCGTCGCCCGCGGCGCCCGGCTCTGGCCTCAAGCGTCGGCCCCCTGGACGGGTTCTCCCCCAGCCGGCTCGCGGAGCAGCGTGGAGGGCGGCGGAGGGAGGCAGCGCGCTGAGATCGCTCCCCGACGCGGCGTCTGGGGGCGTCCGGGGGACCCGGCTTGAGCGGTCCTGCGCGGAGGCCGGGGATTTGTGTGGCAGGGTGAATCCGAGCTCCGTGCTCGCCTCCGTTCGGAGCAGAGCGCTGGCCGAGGGCGTCTGGAGCGGTTTGGACTCTTTGGGCTGAGGCTTGTTTTCTCCGTGGAGTGTTAACCTTGTTATTTTCTGAACTCACCCCGCCTCGCCGTTGCCACTCTAATGCATTAGAGGGTGTGCCTGTTTGCACAGTTAGGATTTGTTTTAGGTAAATAGCCAGAGTTCCCAGCCTTGGCAAGTTCTTTCTGGAGTCGTTTTAGTTCCACATCATTCTGGCAAAACAGTTTTTGTTTTTTTTTAAATCTGAGATCCATAAATTAAGGTAGTCAACATCTGTGGTGATAAACACAATACTTGTCATTCTTTCCATTTCATAACGCGGTTTTAGTCAGAAACATGACTCAGTAAAGCTGGCAGTTCGTTACTTCTGACTTCTCCATATTTGTCTCAAGACACAGGCTAAATGTGGGATCTTGTTTCCAGCTTGTTAACGGCGAATTCAAAGCACTTGGTTATGACCTTTTTCTCTGTTATTTGTAAGTTAATATTAGGAAAAAACTTGGGTATGGTACGTTTATATGGTAAAGACAATTCTTGATTCTCCAGATCATTGAGTACCACAGGTTGTACATTGGGGAACAAAATCAATATTTCTGTGAATCAGCAAACGTTATCTAAACTTAAAACATTAAGATATAACATTTTTTTAAAAAGTAGCAAATTATAGCAGCATTTATGAATATACATTTCTTAGTATCACTAATTGGAAAGTTTTAATATTGTACATATGGTCTGATACTGAATTATCTTATTTTGGAAAAAGGTTTTATCTTTTTAATTATTATTTAGGTAATGTCTGACTTAATCAGATGTCCTCTAGCCTTTGTCATACTCCATTCCACAAGAAAATTGAGACCTACAGAAAATGATTTGTTTTTCTTCCAAGGATGATGGTACATGCCTAGTTCCATTCCAGATGCTTGGGAAGAAAGTTAATTCAATCAATGAGTGGCTTAGGGTGTTAGTTTAATTCTCTTGTAGAACTCCAGTTGAGAAAGGCTCTTAAAAATTAATAGCAAAGGTGATGGCTTATTTCACATAGTCAGAATTGAGTCCTTAGGAGTACTTTTTAATCTGTATGATTTCTAATACCTTTGTGGTAAATAATAATGAGGATTTTTTTTTCAGAGATGAGGATTTTTGTTTTTGCACCTTTGGTCATTTCTTTTTCTACCTTTCTACCTTTCTTTCTTTCTACCTTTCTACCTTTCATCCCTGTGACTTAATCATTACATCCTGGAAACCTGTACCTCTCACTTCCCTTCACCCATTTTGCCCACCCCCAACCCTTCACTCTGCCAACCATGAGTTTGTTCTTTGTATTTATGGATCTGTTTCTGCTTTTTGTTTGTTTCCTTCTTTAGATTCCATATATAAGTGAAATCATATGGTATTTGTTTTTCTCTGTGTGACTTATTTCACTTAGCATAAAACCCTCTAAGTCCCTCCATGTTGTTGCAAATGGCAAGATCTCATTCTTTTTTATAGCTGAGTACAGAAGTGAGTTTTTGAAAACACTTGAATTCTTGGTTATTTCATATTTCAAAAAAACTCAGGTGATTGAAGAGTGTCAAATTCATATTCATATATTAATCTTACTGCTGTCATCTCCTAAGAATAATAGTTATTTATAAATGTAAAGGACGACAATAGATGAAATAAGATGGGTGTTGTGATAAATTAGTTATTCAAGTAGGGGTGAACTTTTGAAATTACCTGGGGTCAAGCTTAATTTTACAAATTATCCAGTATTAAAGATGTCTCTATATTGAAGTAATCATCTGGAGGACAATTTAATAATTTTTAACAGGAAATACTTAGAACACATTATCTTGCAGTAATAGACATTTCTTGTGGCCAGTTGATGCACTCATGGCACCTCAAAGGAGGCCTTACCTGACCACCCTTTCATCCTTCTCAGCCTATATATATATATATATATATGCTTTTTCATTGTCTTCTTCACTTGAATGTAAACTACATAATGGCAGGGATTTTCTTTTGAGTCTAGCATAATGTAGGCACTCAACTATTTTTTTAATGAATGGCACCAAAGCATTGACTTTCCTTTGCGTTTTCTTAACTGAGGTAAGACTATATGCCACCAGTATTATCTCAGATAACTGGGTATGACCAGTTTCCCTGTGGTTTTAAGAAGGTAACTGAATCATTGAATAAATGAGCCTTTGTTGTCTTGGAAAGGAAGGACTAGGAAAATGACCCTTTCTGTATGGGGTCTTCCAGTAAGGAATAAGACTTTATAGGAACCAACAGGAGAAAGAATGCTTACTCTGAGCCTTGAGATTGAAATACGGTGAAATTCTAACATTAAAACCAGTGTTAGGCAGATATAGGGGCTTGAGAATCTGGCATAGTGGAAAAGTATAAAAGAGAAATTCTTAAGAGATTAATAAATGCTTTAAGTAAATGCTGAACTATTTGAGAAGTGTAAATCTGTATACTTGTTCCCTGCCTAATTGTTGTTTAGTTTGTATCTTAAGCATCTGTTGCATTATTAATAAAAATAGTTGTGTACTTGGAACTGATCTGAAACTGAACAGAAGGGAGGGAGAGAGAGGGAGCAGAGCTGGGGGGATTGGGCACGGGGGCAGGGCAAGAGGGTGATGGGAGTGTGTGTGTGTGTGTGTGTGTTTGTGTGGTGGGGGTGGAGGTTGGACTACTTATATTTTAAGAGAAGTGAAACAGGAAAAGCCTTTGAAGAGAAATGACTCTGATCTTTCATACTATAACCAGCACAGAATGTTTCAGAGTCTTCTTCTCTAGGAGAGTATTTTTTCAAAAAGGAATGGAAAGTTCTAAAGAAAAGTTGTAACAAATGTAAGAAAGGAAATAAGAACAGGAGCTACCTTTCAAGGCCTCATGTTACTGTGCATTTGTACTTGTGTACTAGAGCAAAGAAGAGGAGGAAAATAGAAGCTGGAAGATAGAATATATTTAAGCCAGGACCTGAAAAGGAGTAAAAGATTGCGATACAAATGCTCCCTCTTCCCTTCCCCCCATGCTTTCCCTTTGGCTCGTACATACTATGCTGGGCACAAGGTTAACTGGAAGTGGGAGTTGGCAGGTCAGATGTTCACCACACCTGGGTGGAGTCTTGGTATAATTTAAAGTCCTGCTTTTCAGTCAGAGGTGATTTTGCCCCTTAGGGGACATTTGGCAATGTCTGTATACATTTCTGATTGTCACAACTTGGGGCGGGGGGGGGGGGGCGCGGATAGAGGCTAGGAATGCTACTAAACATGCTGTGTACACAGCACAGTCTGCCACAACAAATAGTTATATTGCCCAAATGTCAGTAGTTTTGAGATTGAGAAACTGGTTTGAAGTATACAAGCATGTCAGATGATTGAACTAGGGTACTGTGCTACTTAAGATTATTTTGTCTGCAAACAACAAAAATCTCTGTTTAACTTAGGTAATAGGGGAAATGTAACAGAAAGCTGTTGGGGTGGGTCACCGAGTCCGGGGAAGGGCAGACCTAACCAGCTCCTAAAACCTCATTGGACAAGATAATTCTTTGTTGTGAAGGGCTGCTCTGTGTTTGTGGGATGTTTAGCAGCATCTCTGGTCTCTACCCACTAGATGCCAGTAGCACTCCAGGCGTTGACAAATGTCCCCTTAGAGTAAAATCTCTCTTGGTTGAGAACCACTGCTTCCACCTCTCACAACTCTCAATCTGTGGTCTTTCCTGTCAAGTTTGAGATTCCTGGGAGAGAGAACCTGTTTGGCCCAGTTCTACTTACCAACATGGATCAGTTAACAATGGCAAAAGGTCATAAAGCAAGGATATGGTCATAGGTAGAACTGTTTTGAGTGTGGCTTACTGTTCCATTTGGTATCTTTAATAGGCATTGAACTAAATTAGATTTCAGAGTGCCTCATTTGCTATGTTAAAGAAATTGAACTTCATCCTGGGAGGTGACTGCTAATAAAGAATTCCAGACAAAAGAGGGACATGATCATTAAAGATGCTTAGTTATCAGTTTGGTTTTGGAATCCAGGGTTCAGGAGCAGTTGACTGTGGTGGAGATATAGAGTTTATAGAGGGTCTCTGATTAACTTAAATATAAAAGTCATGTATTGTAGGGATATCATCCCACAGGATTTATGGAAGGTTGGGGAACCATACTTGGAAAGGGATTGGATCCAGGCCAGTTCTAATGATCTAGGTAGGAGAAACCACTTGACAGTCTCAACAAGATATGTACCCTAAACTAAGAGAAGGAACAAACAGAAAGAGAGGGTGCCTTGAGAAGATTGTTGAATATTTGGAATATATGTTAGGGAGATTAGGAAAGGTTGAACTCTTGCCAGGTCTTGTGACTGAATGGCAAAGTCATAGAGACTTTAGGGTGCCTCACGGTGTATTCATGAAAGCTTACACTGTGAAAGGAAGAAAAGGGGGGAACAGCAGCTGATAGTCTGGAAAGAACCATCAAAGGATTGGAAATTTTATCTGGGTGGGAGAGCAGTTGAGAAAAACAAATGAGAGAACTGGAAGGATTGGAGGTTTTGTCTAAAAGTATTAAAGTTTAAAATTTCAGAGGAGGATTAGGCCTAATTTAGAG